TAAGCACAGAAGCGTATTTAAAGTACTCTTCCCCTCTCCAAGCTTGACTTTATTTGTTTACTTGTTGGTGGTGAATTATGATAAACTGTATCGTATATTTAGAATTCTTGTAAAAGTAGTAGTGGGGTAACATGAACATACTATGCATAAAGATTCGATATTATTGACACTGATTTGAAAATCACTTTTGCGTTGTTGTAACGTGTTTATTGCCGAGCATGATTACCTGTCATAGTATGTATTTTTCTAATTCACACCATAATGTAACGTCTATTTATTGATTTCTCTTTTGAGGCTTTGTCAGACAACCCCTCCCTGTAACTTTAATTCTTGAGCTTGCTTATGAACATCGCACTAACTTTTTCGTTGTTGCTTGCTCTTGTGGAATATTTTTGTATGTTTGATTAATACATGTTTGTAGATGTAGATCGTCCAATTTGGTATAGTCCTGAGAAGGACTGTTTTTGTTGTTGTTGACTGACGTTTCGACAACCTTAGCGGTAGTTATCTTCAGAGTCAGTCCTTCTTAGGACTATACCAACCTGGACGATCTACATCTACAAACATGTAATGATACTCCCGGATTCAAACCATTTACTTTATTTACTTTGTTTTAATAATGTCGACCAGGCTGGCGAAGTTAGCAAAGCGCTTGATTTGTGTTTTGAAACGGAGCAGTTTTCCACTTTGCAAATGGTTGCCGGCGATCTTACGGAAAATACTGATCCTGAAATGTTGTCACGATGTTCTCAGTTCTTTATGGAACATGGACAGTACGACAGAGCAGTAGAGATAGCTGTTCTAGGGAAGAAAGTAAGAAAATTACTTATATTTGTTATCATTTCATATCGCCGGCTTTAGTTTAGAGTTTCGCGTTGCGAAGCAAGGTCTGTTTCGGGTAAACGAAACTCACTGTTTCCCTGAGTCTCATCCAATATATGTTAATTTGTTCTTTACAAGCGTCCAAAGTAAAGCGTTCTTTAAATCATCGTTTGCATGTCTTCAAAAAGGCCATGTTTACTGTAACATTTACTTATAACATTTACAAGAATATGAATTTCTTTAATATTTTTTTTTAGTATGAAGAGGCAATGGATCTTTGCCTTTCATATAACGTCCTAATAAGCGAAGATCTTGCAGAAAAGATGACTTTGCCTAAACATTTCAGCGATACAGAGTTGCGAAGTAGAATTCTAGAACGAATTGCGGAGTGCTGTATGCAACAAGGATCTTATCATCTTGCAACAAAGAAATTTACCCAGGCTGGCAATAAAACAAAGGTATATATAACTTTAGAAAAATAAGGTAACCAGTGGTTAGCTTAGTGACAAATAGAGTAAAATCTCGTATGTTGAGCAAAATAAATCACGAATGGTTAGGTCCAACTTACACGATACCGGATTATTTTTTGTACCAGATTTATATGGTTAATCCGATCTGCTTTTTGTACCGTATTTTCCATGGTTGAACAGCAGTACAATAAGCCATGTGCTTTTATGATGGCGGACGCCAAGCAGGCCGAATGGGAGAGAAAACGAATTGGAACTGCTTTTCGAATCTGCTAAAGTTTTTTCTTCAGAATATATGTTTGAAGGAAAGTATTGGGTCGAAATTAAATGGAAGTACAACAGGATACGAGTGCTTTTTACCAAGCGATATCCGAGCACTGTATCAGAAGATTATTCTAAATCCGAGTTCTTGTACTATATTACAGAAGAAAGAATTGCATTAAAGCTTAAATGCATAAGGAGAAACTATAGAAAGTGGAGGTGGAAAATAACTTTTTATGTTCTATGGCAAGACATTAGGGCAGAAGCACAAGCTATCACGGTATTGAAAGTATGAATCTTCATAATTATGAATACCGAATAACAGTTACACCAAATGACAATTTAGTTAAAACACGTGTTTACTATATTTTTATACTTATAAGGAATAATTGGTGAGTAATATTTTAACTGCAATGTGGTTATATCATTATATGTTCAATGTGGCTTTCGTTTAAGGATATACTATTGTTGTTTGTTTTTCTCTAAATAATCTTTACATGTTTGTGTTATTATGTTTTGTTGAAAGTAGGATTAATTAAGTATGGAAAGTGATAGCAGCAAAGATGATATGACTTTAGTGATTGACGATAACAATAATAAACAAAATGATAGACGTGGAAAGATTGAAAGGTTCTTAAACGATGATAGGGAGAAAAAAATTAACCGCAAGATTCTTGTGTAAACTCAGCAATTAAATTGTATGAAAGAAGATTTGGCCTTACATAGAAAAATTGCAGAGCAGTCAGTGTCTACCAATAATGAGTACCCTGCTCAAGCAATTAAAATGTCAGAAACTATGGAAGTCATGGCAAATGCAATAACAGGATACCTTCAAATGTGTTTTGATAAATTTCTTACTGATGTGTTTGGAACAAAATTTTTCGTACTGAATTACTTGATTTTGAAAAGCATTTTGAATGCTCTCGCCATTTACTTCACAAACGTTATGAAGAATGAACCATGCCACGATAATTGAAGGAATATTGTCCATAATAAGTTACATTGCTTTTGTGAGAATGCCAAAGCAATTGTTGAGTCGACTAAGAGCACATTCTACAATCGTACTAGCTGACGGTAATTTTCAAGAAAAAACTGCTCTTTCACTGTATTCACTCCTTTTGCAAACTCTTTCATGAAGTAAGGGGATAAAGGATTAGCTGGATCTTCTTTGAAGCACACAAGGATAAAGTCTTCTCCTTCAACTATAACTTTGGGACATCTTAGTAACGAGCTATTTTTAAAAAGTTGATTGATATTTGAATTGGCCAAAACACGTGCATCATGCTCAATTCCGTCACATATATTGTAAAGTTTCTTTGGACATCCTAAAATTGTTTTTTTCACTCTTCATCTTCTGCATAATCTGCTTGTACGTTTTTCCACCATCTTTCAGTTGGTCCAGGTGCTATACAGTAAAGTCTTTTTGTTTTTACTTTTTAAATTGATGTAATGATATAACTGCTATTAAGCATATGTTGTTGTAGTGCCCGTCATCTTGTTGAAAAATATCGTAATGAATTTATGTAAAAAAGAGTACAGTTTAACTGAAAAATGCCAGCAAAATAGTTGTAAACAAAAGCAAATATCCTGTCAAGAGTTGAAAAAATTCATTTTATTTCTGTAAAAAATGGTCATACTCGGTGACAAAAATATATTGAATTATCTTAGTTACTCTGCATCCGGAACAGACTGGATTGTTTTTTTTTATCATTTCCAAATCAGAGAGATATTCTTGCAGTGAAACTTACTGGATTAGTTACCATGGCATTGATTAACCAAAACGCGTATCCTGTATAAAAAGTAGTCCTGTTGAAGAGTTATCCGGTATTGTGTAACTGTAGCCTCAGTAAGGTTATAGTTCAAAGAGTTTTGTTAGAAAATGTAACATCCTTTTCTTGAAGGCGATGAAAGCACTACTAAAGTCAGGTGATACGGAGAAAATCATTTTCTTCGCTGGCGTATCAAGACAACGTGAAATATACGTTATGGCTGCGAACTATTTGCAATCATTAGACTGGAGAAAAGATCCTGATATCATGAAGAATATCATTGGTTTCTACACAAAAGGAAGGGCGCTCGATTCATTGGCCAGTTTCTACGACGCATGCGCGCAGGTATATACATGTTTAGATATTTTTAGTATTTCCTCGTTTCCAATGCGTTATAAATGTGTTAGCAAAGAAGTCTTTTCAAATTGCTAAAAATATGATTCTATTCCTACTCAGTGGAGAATGAAGTTATTTGATATAAAAATATTGTGGTTTTAATCTTGTCGAGATAGTCTAACGTCTTATAATGGACTATTGTTAATATCAAATTTTTTGCCATGATCATGTCCTATATGTGATTCTCTGTGGTTCCATGTGCGCAAGTGCTGTGTGATTCACTAACTTATACATTACAGGTTGAAATAGATGAATATCAAAATTATGAAAAAGCTGCAGGAGCGTTGTCCGAGTCGTATAAATGTTTGAGCAAAGCGAAATTGAAAAACCCTTCTAAACAAGAAGAAAGACTGGCTTCTATTAAACAAAGAATTACTTTAATAAAGAAATTCATCCAGGCAAAAAGGTATATGTGCAGGCGACGTAGATTTTACTTTTTCGTGCAGTCTAAATGAGTAAAAACATTGTGTCATTTGTATGATAATTGGGTATGTTTAAAATGTGTTGAAATCCTTTGTTTATGAAATGTTGGTTAGAATGAAAGAAAAAAGTGTTAAAATCTTAATTACTTCAAAAAGTTCAAATATTTGACTTAAGTATTAATATCTCAAAACATTGCTTAATGTTACCGCTGACCAGTTATATTTAGAGTTTGGACTCACTTTATCATTTCGTCTTTAAATTGCATTTACTGCATTAAAAGATGATGAAAGATTAAATAGTGTGACCTTTCATAAAGATTTTTCAATCTCGAATTCTTTTTAGACATTTCAACTGTAATTTTATGATGAACTATATTTGTCCTGTAATTTTTTCATATGTATAAATATACGGTGGCCCGTATGTGCAATTCACAATTTAATTTGTCAATGCACAAACATTCCCTTAAATTCAAAAACAATATATTTGATACAAAAATAATGTGCTGAATGCAAAATGATTTTGTTTGCGATGCAAAACACGAACAATGCAAAACAAATTTGATCGCAATGCAAAAACAAATTTGATCGCAATGCAAAAACAAATTTGATCGCAATGCAAAAACAAATTTGATCGCAATGCAAAAACAAATTTGATCGCAATGCAAAAACAAAGTTACCGCAACCCAGAATTTTGCACTGTACTGTGGGCGGCAATATGTCGAATATTTAATAGAGTGGGACAGTGTATATTAGATTTCTTTCGAAAATATCTGCGTTGGTTTGTAATGTTTTGCTGCTTTTGTGGACATGGAATGGAGACGTCGTTTTCTTTGCCCGAATTGCGGAAAGAAAAATCCAATGGGACCTCTGAGCCTTCAAGCAGCTCTGTTAAATCACCTTGTGTGACTCACTCGACTGGGAACTCCCCCACTTCGTCGAACACGTCTTCATCTTGTACAAGTTTGTCTACTTTCATGAAGAACAAGGAGGCTGAACGACGGTCGCATTTTGAGACCAAGAGGAAAAAGTCACGCTCTGCAACATCACGAAAAAATACTGATGTTTTTATAACAGTAGGTTTAATGGAATACGACCACGATGATTCATATACGCCAAGACGGGTTTTTGGTAAAACATTTCCTGTGAAGGTGACACCGGACATGGTGTATGATCAAGTTCTTAAAAGATCTTTGACCAAATGGGCTAACTATGATAGAACATTTTGCCCTGATAGAGGTTACGTACTTGTTTACCCAGATGGTCAATTGGCACGAACAATTCCTGGTGGGGACGAAGAATTCGTAATGGGCAAGTACAAAGAAGAACTTGGGAAAGCGTACTCAAGAATAAGTTTGTACCTTTGCCCTGTAGCACCAAAACAGAAAGTGAGAGCGAATGATGTACTCATCACTGATCTACTTACCGAAAACGACGATTTGGACCTCAATACTGAATTACAAGAAGAAGTGCCAGAAAATTGTAATGGAAATTTGGCAGTATCTCCAGAATCCAGTGGAAATGGGTCTGGGGAAGCTGCTGCAACATCCTATGCTTTGACAGACTTTTTGTAAGTGTAACATGTTAATATGACTAAGTTTTTACTACTTTATTGTGTATAAAGCAATCACTGTTGGTTGTATTAAATCTATGAAATCTTTTGTTATTAGACCAGTTGGAGTTGATGAGAATGCTGCTGTGCAACAGGCCATACGTAATAGCTTGTCTATGCATGTCGATGTGGAAGATGCAGTTGGTGATGCTATCACTGACCCTGAAATTCTCACAAGTGATGGTTTCTTGAATGCAGTTAAAGAGCATGCAGCAGACAAAATTCAAGGAAACCCTCGAAACATTGTTGTTAGCCGATTAAGCATATGGCGAACTGCGCTACCATATTTTAGAAGGAAAGGCTTCCTTAGTTCTGCTGGCATTTTGAAAGTATCATTTGCTACATTTGAAGAGGAGGAAGATGCCGTAGATCAAGGTGGCCCAAGAAGAGAATTCTTCCATCTACTTCTTGGAGCTATTGCACGAGACAGTGGAATAATGTGTAGTAAGTTATGAATTAAAGTTCTTGACTTGGAAATGTTGTGTACTAAATTTCAAGTTTTGATTTCATTTCAGTCTGTAGCCTGGTTGTAGAGTGTGCCACTTTATTTTTATTGGCTAAATATAAATTTTCTGCAGGCATGCCAACAGGTTGTGTAATTCGCTGCAATGTTGGAGCCTTGATTCAAGGAACATTTTTGGCTGTTGGACACATGTTGGCTACACTTGTTGTGCAAGGTGGAGAATTGCCACGAATATTTAGCAAATCTGTTTGCCAATATATTGAGGCAGGGTTTGTCGGCTGTACACCAGATATAGACGAGCTACCTGACAAGAACATTAGAGATTCTCTTTTAAAGGTATCAAATGTTCGACATCACATGGCAGAAACCAATTTGCCAATTTTTATTGACACTTAAATTCTTTGAAACTTAATTTTTTTTAAACAATTTTGGCAACAATTGTTTTCATTATTACTATAGCTGAAAGCTGCAAAGGATCAAGGGGGTGTTGATTCTTTTTTGGCTGAGAGTGAGTGGAGATATGACATTGATGGATTGTCCCAAACCCTCCTAATTAAAGATAAGCTGATGTTCATTGAGGAGGTCACCAAATACTTCATCATCATAAAATGCAAACCAATGCTTGATCAGCTCATTGAAGGCCTCAATTATTATGATGTATGTGGTGTCGTATATTTAATTCAAAGTTTAGTTTAATTTTATTTTATTTGCCTGCCTCCATAATAGTGTTATAGTAGTAGCACTTTGGGGTATTATGTAAAACAAAGCAAAACAGAGAAACTAATGCTAGTCATGTATTATTGGTTAATACATTGAATAATATACACAGCAGATATTAGCACTGAATATTGCAATAGTATTAATTATTGATTTCTATATACTATAAGTAAAATGCCTTTCCTATTCAAAGGTTTTGCAACTGGTCCGTGCTAATAAAGGAATGGCAAACTATTTATTCCAGTACAATCCAGAGGAAAAGATGGATGGCAGCAAGCTGATAAAAATCATGAAACCTAATTTTTCTCCAATTGGTCACCATCGTAGAGAACCACAAGAAATAATAATGGCTAAATTTATCGCCTTCATCAAGTCCATGGAAGGTGAGTGACAATGTGATCTGTCCCAGATCGAAGCATCTGCTTTTGCAATGGCAGATTTAATAAGTGTCTTTTCTGTATATTTCTGTGTCATATGATATGTATTACATATTACTATTTAATAGATGGAAGTTTGCTGGGAAACTTACATGATGAAGGAATCGAGTTGACAGAAGAAGAGGAGCGCTTTGCTTCTGAAGCAACTCCTAAGCATATTCTTCTATTTGCAACTGGTGCAACCAACGTACCTACTATTGGCTTTGTACCTAAACCAACAATCACATTTGTTCATGATGATGGCAAGATGATACCATCAGCTCAGACCTGTTCCAACTCATTGCATTTGTATGTGAACAAGAAGACACTAGATTGTAGTCTGGCCCATTGCTTGCTGACAGCTTTAATGAATGGAGGAATATTTAGTAAATTGTGAGGAAGAATAACAATGTGTCCCTTGTTTTGGGGATTTAGTTAAACTTTTGCAGAGTTATGTTACAGACATTATTTACAAATGGTGTGCCAAAAAAAAAAAAAATTAAAAAAAAAATTTAAATTCAAAAATTTTTTTTTTCAAAAAATTTAAATTCAGCTTTGGGCAATTCCACGTAAGATATGGTACATTTCCAATGCTCTTCTCCAATGTGTTGGTTGAGACATACCAAGTTCATTTCCAATGGTGCAATAATATTCTTGAATAACATTTTCTTCCATGTACTCATGACAATATTGAGACATATCTTGAAATTGAGCATCAGTCACTTGCTTTGCATAATTTTGTGCACCATTGCATTCAGGGAGAAAGTAAAGTTCATCTGGTCTTCCAGCAACTGTGTCAAACCTTGACTTACGGATGTAGTGGGAGTTCCAATTACGCTTGACGCTTGTTAGATCTTCTAGTAATAAATTGGCAAAGCAATACCACAAACATTCCTTGTCTAGATCACTTGATGTATTTAAATGCCCTGTCTCAATCATATCTTTAAAAAAATTCATCCACCAGTTCGAGCGATTTTTTCGTAGAAATGCCCACCAAGATTCAATCCGCTGGTTTGACTGAGAGGAACCATACCGATGAGCATTGATACCTGCCATCTCGTCATCCCCACTAGTTCTAAAATAAGCTTGCATTGCTGCCATTATGACATTTTCAGTCCCATTGTCTGTTCTCAACAATGTGGGGCATCCACCATACTTCTTAACAGCATCCAGGAAGTGTTGACTTGTAACAGCAGGATTGTTATTTGTTTTGCATACTTTAAGCCATAAAACTTTTCGGCTATATCCATCTATGCATCCATGCACTGGGAAGCCATATGGCTTAAGTTTGTCATAGCCATCAACATGCCAAGCATAATTGGGACCTGGGTTGTGGTAAGTTCTTCGCCTAAGGGTTTTGCCCTGCCTTTCCCTCACGCCATCAGGATCCAACTCTTTAACAAAAACCCTGATCGTTTCCCTGGGCACTTGGTAACCTTCCCGTTGCAAGGTATGCCACACAGAGCGATAACCAGCTGAAGAACCTGGTCCATCAAGCTCGTGCTGTATTCGTTGTCGAATTAGACTTAAATCATACTCCTTGTTCCTTCGACGAAGACCAAGAGATCTTAGCTTGGTATTAAGTGTTCGTAAGGAGATGTTAATGCCGTGAAACTTGCCAAGGAATTGCATAATCTTCTCGTATGCAAAGCCTTCTCTGAAATAATGCGCGATTAGTTCGTCACACGTATCGTCTCCTCCAGGGATTTGTTCCTCCGCGTTTCAAAGCCTTGTAAGTGATTTCCGCAAAATGGGCAATATTGTAATGTGACCTGAATATTTTGACCGCAAAATGGACAATACATTCCTGGTGAAATTCAGCAAAACATTACAAACTAACGCAGATATTTTCGAAAGAAATCTAATATACACTGTAACACTCTATTAAATATTCGACATTTTGCCGCCCACAGTACAGTGCAAAATTCTGGGTTGCGGTAACTTTGTTTTTGCATTGCGATCAAATTTGTTTTTGCATTGCGATCAAATTTGTTTTGCATTGCGATCAAATTTGTTTTTGCATTGCGATCAAATTTGTTTTTGCATTGCGATCAAATTTGTTTTTGCATTGCGATCAAATTTGTTTTGCATTGTTCGTGTTTTGCATCGCAAACAAAATCATTTTGCATTCAGCACATTATTTTTGTATCAAATATATTGTTTTTGAATTTAAGGGAATGTTTGTGCATTGACAAATTAAATTGTGAATTGCACATACGGGCCACCGTATAAATATGTATCTTTATAATAAAACTTTGTGTAAGCGTGAGCAACCTTACTAGCTCTTGTTTCGTGATTTTTGGAGTTTAGATCACAAATAGCATCCAACACCTGACTATTAGATGCCTGCTTGCACGTTTTATTACAGAATGCATTTGAATTTTTGAATTTACTGGAAATTACCTGCTTCCTTGCATTTAGTCAATTTTGTACCTTCTCTTCAATATTAACCTTGGTTACTGTGTAACATAACTAACATCATAAAAAGTTTTATTTAACGAGAAGATTTATCACATAGGATTAAGTTCATTAAAACATCATACAAGTCACAACAACAACCTTGAAGTAATATTGAAAAAACTTTACATTATGATATAAAGTCTTTGAAATGTTAAAATAAACAATTTTATGTCATGTGCACTTTAAAGTGTCAGATATATATTTTGTAGATCGTATGATGGAAACGCTGCAGAAGCGATGCAACAATGTCGAATATTACTCCAGGAACCAGATATCGAGACTGCAGTTAGGACTGGGGATATTTATGGTGTAATGATTGAACATTTAGCGAGAGAGCAGAATTTTTCAAAAGTAAGAACCTGTTGAGCAAAACAGTGGGTTGTTCGAGATTTTGCAAAATCCTTAACCTATGTTTTTAATTCTGCATGTTGCTAGACTCAACGTTAATGCATCAAAACTAATTCGTTATCCTTCCTTTTCATAAATACCTTAATACAACTTATTACTGCTATAAATATTAATAAAGACAATACATTACTCCCCTTCATCCTCGTGGCGAGAAACGTACAGAAGCCTTAATTGGCTATTTCCTCAATTTATGGATTTACTTTCTATGATGTATGGATATGTATAAAGTGTGAAAGCTGATGCAACTAGAGACATAACAAGTTATTTTTTCAAAAATTTTAAATACATACGAACGCGCGGAGTACCATTTAAACAAATCTTGTTTTTCCACACAGGCCTTTTCTTTGCTGGAAGAATTGCGACAACACATCCCGAGGGGAAACGTGTCTTTCTACGTTGACACCAGAATTGTTGAAGGTATTCATAAAGCATTAGGCATGCCCTTGGATTCCGTCAGTCACAATGTGTTAAAAAATAGCGAAGCTGCTGACAGTGAAGTGGAGATAGACGAGGCTGTCGATGAAGATCTGGAAAATGAATATGAGTGACGTCATTTTTCTTAGTAGTCGTACGTGCTCTTCATTTATGTGAATTGAAGCAAACACTTATCAATGATAAATAATTTATTAGTTAAACTGTATCTGTGACCAGTTGAATCACTATTATTTAAAAAAATATTCAGAAAAACACTACAACATTTAACGCTATTTGGTTTTTATAGTAAAATTATATGTTGCTATAATTAAAGTTGCTGTTAAATCATCTTATGTATTTCAGACCCTAGTATTACCTCTATCAGCAATTTAGCTGTAATAGGCGATATTTCTGCACAAACAACTGTTGTCTTTAGTAGCTATTTTCCTAAATGAGTAGGATTTTGCAGTGACTTTTGAATTTATTTTTATTTTGTTTATGAAAAGAAGTCCGTCTTTATTGGTAACCTTGTGACGTCGGATAAACTTTTATAGTCTGCCTTGCAAACCGCCCACAATTTGCTGAGATGGAACCCCTGCTATCATTATAGCCAGCAGTTGATAGTTGTAAACTAGTGACTTCCCATAGTCCAGAATTGTCAAACTATATCCGTAAAAATACTATTCTCTATTATTGCGCAGCCAGCTCACTTTCTGTACAACTTGCTCGTAGTTGAGTGAAATTTGTCCCCTCCATATTTCAAGCGAACCAAGTTGCTACGTAACTACGTATAATATAACATATATGTGTGGCCATGTGTTGTCATTAAAGTACAATTGGCACGACATCGCCACAGTCATTACATTAATCATAACCTCATTTGACTTAAATTAAACATTGAAAATGACAAGTTAAAAAGTTGTCTTTCGCGTACTACAAGTAATGTTTCACGTGCTTTTACTTTCTAGCATTTTGCATATAAATTTAAAAATTTTACAGCATAGTTTTTATTGTGATTACATGGTTTCTATCCCCTGTCTTACCAATTCAAAATCAAGTTGCGGAAAAGACTAAAAAAGTAGCTCTTTTGAACATTTTTACAGCATATTTAAAAGACGTCAAGAACATCAAAAATAGTCACGAAGTGCGTACACTTGGGTAGCGATGAAGTATGTGGCCATAAAGTTAAGTAGATTGATGTACATAGCTCAAATAATATCATTTATTAAATAATATTTGAACAAACTTGTTCAAGATTTAAAAAAAGTGCTATACGTACTCACTGATTAGTCGATTTACCCAATAACTTTTTAATCTATTCTGCATTTATAACCACTGAACTATAATACATGAAAAGCTACCTGTAATAGAAAAGCCTAATAGTTTTTTAAAGCCAAATTTGAGCATCAGTATCTGGAAGTCAATTTACGTGTATTGCAAGCTCGAAGCTACTCGTTATGCGAGACTTGTTAAATAAACAAGTTTTTCGCGAAGTCCTTTTTTGATTTTGGTCAAATGTACTTAAAAGATATTTATGGTTTTCTGAAAGTGCTTGTGTAAGCGATCGGTAATTTTGTGTTGATAGTTGCCAACCGTAAGACCATTGACTTATAAGACCATACATGCATGTAACTCACGAGCGAGATAGAGCGCGTGACAAACATTGCATATAAATCAAGGAATATATTTACTACATAAATCGATTGAAGAAAAAACCTAAACAGATTTGTGGGCCGCCTGTTTTGCAGAGATATTATTTCCGATTGTAAGGACTTTTTCTTACAAACACCCAACAATGTATAAATTGATATAAAATGCAATGTTTGTTTTATGACTACGTCAACAGTTTTTCAATGAGCAAAGCAGTAACTGGAAAAAATGAATTTTCTGACAAAAAGACAAGTATAGAGGGATATATATATATATAATAGCTATTTACATAATATTAAATTACATGGTGGGATGAAAACGTGAAGATAAATATGGGATAAGATGGTATAACGTGGGATAAGTAGAAACACGAAAGAAACAAAAAACACACATAATCATAAAGTATACAGACATAAGGATGGACGAAATTAGATTAAAGCTACAATGTCGAAAAACTACAATGCCCAACTAGTTCAAAAAGGCGCAATGTTGCTGCTGGGTACCGAACGTTTGTGTACCAATTACAGAAAACATTGATGATTTGGATGAAGGAAATGGTATTGAAGATGCATCGAGAAGCAATAAAGCACGCTGGCATAAAAATTATTGGTGAAAAGTAAACAATACAAAATTTGAATATGCAGAAAAACGTCTGTCACATTGCAAAAAACATGAAGACGCTGTTGCAAAATTATTCACTCGTCAATAAGTCTCCAGGTACAACTTTTTTAAAGGGGCATTGTATTTCCTGTAAATAAGATGTAACTCCCAAAAAAATTCTTCAATCGCTGGCCTCAACAATGGATTTTGATGCCTGAGTCAGAGAATATGCCATTGCTTTACAAGATCGAAAGTCATTAGCAAAATTGAGCGAAGGGGAATTGGTCGCAATAGAGGCTAAGTATCATCCAGCATATCTGCCATCTTTATGTAACAAAGCAAGATCAAAAGTAAAAAAAAGTAAAGGATGAAGACGATGTAAGTTCCCTGGAAGCCATTACCTTAGCAGAACTTATAACTTATATCGGAGAGTCTTCACTAAAGAAAGATGTATTGCCAGTTTTTAAGATGACCAATTAAGTTAGAATGTACATTACACGTTTACATCGACTGGTAGTTAATTTGACCGACCACGTCTGCGCAATTATAGGCTAAAAGATCTTATCCTGTCAATTGTTCCCGAGCTCAACGCGCATAAACAAAGTGGGGATATACCCTTAGAGCATATAGAGATGATGTAGCAAAGGTACTCAAGAAAACACATTGTGAATGCTGCAAGAACGACGCTATGCATTTAGCGAGGGTTGTAAATATTGTTAGGAAAGAAATATCAAAGATCAAATTGACTTCGATGGATCTTTTCCCCTATTTGTCAGGTCTGCTCGGTTTCAGCAATACTTTTGTCTCTTGTAAACATGATTTTAGATGGGCCAAACCTCGAAAGTCAATTAGATTCCTTGGAAACCTTATAGCTACTATTGTACATTTGTTCGAATTCAAAAGCAAAACTGCCTAATTTGATACAAGCAAGCGTCAACGCCACAGTTTGTTTTGAGAAATGCCACTTCCAATATACATTAGTTTGTCTTCTCATGCTAAAACTCGCAGACATTATCTTATTTAAAATTTCTTCTATTGTTTCTCCCCCGTGAGCACCATCCATGTTCTTAACGATCACGACTTTTTTCTCTTCTGTAATTTTACGAAGGTTGCAGCATTTAGTGTTGAACAAAAGCATGGTATTTTAGATGAGATTATTGAACTGAAAAAACCTCTTTCTTCAATTTTCTTCTCTTCCTTAATTTTTAATCAACAGATGAGCTGCTGCTTGAAGTTCTGTTGCATCTATTTTTGTTTTTATTATTCCTATTATGCTTTTTAAGCTTTTCTTTTTCTTTGGAAGAGTTTTTGGTGTTGGGATCATTTCATTTTTTTAAGGTTCTTGCATCTCTGTTTGAATCGACTTATCAAGGTTTATCAATATCACGTGACTAAGTTCTCAGCATTTTGACCGATAGTGGAAACAGCGTTTGTTCGCCCAGTTTTTCTTCTTAATGATGATCGACATGTTCCTTAAGTACAATGTGAAGTAAAAGGAGATGCTTCAAAAGTACTCCTTGCCATAGCACAAGAGCTTAAATGGTTTGACAGTGTAAGCAATATTGTTAGATTAAAAGCAACCCTCCAATGAGACAAGGAATTCTCGAGGGCAGCTTATCATTCGTAGTTACAGAATGTCAACTCACCCCTGTATAATTCTGCACTGCTACCCCTATTTCCAGACCAATCAAAGTTTGTTCCTATGGTTCATCATGCTGTGGCTGTTGTAAAATTGGCTTTTGATAAACTTAATACAGATCAGTTGTCTGTGATGACGATAAATCAACCAATTTTTGCTGTTGCAATGCAAATTCTCAGTGGAAATTGCTAGACCTTGATGGCGAAAAATACTTCTTGATAATGTTCGTAGGCGTTAATCTTAAATAGGCTTTTTCAAATTTCTTGGTCAGTGGCTTAATAGGAGTGATTAGATGAAAGTCTTAACTCAAGCAAAAATAGCATCACCAGCTACAGCTGGTTCTTTTTTAGAGCTTCCAACGTTGTGCGCACAAGGAATGCCCACGTGATTTAAATTGATCAAACAATCACCCACGCAAATATTTTTACACAACAAATTGAATATACTATAACATTATCATTATTTCATCTTTCCTGACTACATTGCTCATGCTTAAGATCTTAATTTCATCAAACGTATTCACGAATAGCGTTTATTAATTGTATAGGTAAACAGAACATGAACATTGTTTTCACAAATTTATATGTTTTGCTGTTGGCCAAGTTAAAATGTACAGTTGATATGATCTTCAGGTTCAGACATTTTTGTCTTTTACATGTTTGACATCGTTCAAACATATTCATTTACATAAAACAATGAATTCGTTAAGATCTTTGCTTAGCTTTTTATTAAATGAGCAAGATTTTCAAATGTCATAGAGCGCCTGGAGCCCAGACACATCTTGTAATACCATGTCTTACGTTATCAAACGTAATGAAAGACTTTATAAGAACGGAATATTTAAGCAACCATCAAACCCAGACGTCCAAAAATTGTAGAATTCTTTTTGTAAATTTGAAAGATAAGATTTAGTTCTGACTTTTAAAATCCACACGCACTTTCTTCATTCGAGATTTGGCTAGTAAGGTTTTTTGATTTTGCGGTGTTGTTCTTTGATAAATTTTTGTCGCTAGCTAGTTGTTTCATTTGTCAGTAAATGCCAATCTTGGTTAAATTTTACTTAACGGACTGTTTTTCAAATGTGAATAAAGCTACTCATAAATGAATATAATCAGGAAATTTGTTATAATCGTAACCAAAGAAATGAGACATTTTAAACATCAGCATACATTCGATGCAGTATGCTTTGTATAGCAATTGACCACGTATTTATAATTATGAATTTATGATGCATATCTCAAATGCAAAATTTAGCAAGCTTTGCATTTTGTTTAACTCCTTAATCATTTTGAGCACGCGCATAACTTTTACATATTCCTGACATTTTTTTCAAATCTTAAAGTTGTGAAAGCATTCATTTATTGAAATAATGTTCGGATAGACTTTATGTTTTGAAGTGTTTATTATTGTTGTTAAGGGTCTGTGTTTTTTTGGCATTACAAATATTCAAATTTAGCAAACAATCACCCACACAAATATTTTTACACAAAAAATTGAATAGGTTATTGCATTGAATATTATTTTATCTTTCCTGACTACATTGCTTATGCTTAAGGATCTTAAATTCATGAATCGTATTCACGAATGGCTTTTATTAAATTATATTGCAAAACAAAGCATAAAGCATTGTTTCCACAAGTATATATGTTTTTACTGTTAGCAAAGTTAAGTAATGCAGTTGACATGATCTTCAGGCACAGATACCTTTACATGCTTATTATTGTTAAAAAAAGCATTTACGAAAACTACGAATTCGTGAAGCTCTTTGCTTAGCATTTTATTTAATGAAACAGGATTTACAAATGTCGTTGAGCGATTGTGGCCCAGACTCGTGCATCTTGTAACACCATGTATCACGTTATCAAACGTCACAAAGATAATGCTAATGTTGATTCTATAAATATTTTAATACTCCACAAGGTTCATCATTAGAATCGATGTGAAAGGCGTTGTTACATATATTAGGAAGTGCATGAGAACCATGCTTTTCTTATTGAATATTACAATATTTAAAACCTGAAGACAAGATAGACATATAAAAGGAGAACTCTCTGGCTGTGTCGCTTGTTAAGGTGCGTTGTAGAAATACTTACAAAAAATTTATTATGATTTTGAAACTTTAATTACCAGTCTATTGCTGCTGTAAAAATCCTTGATCACGTCAAAAACTTTAGTGAGGTTATTTTGGTCGCATTCGACACATTTCTTAGTTATTTTTGTAAAATTAATTTAGGAAGTAATGTAGGTTAGTGGCGCAGGTCTTACTTTTGTTTTAAACCATAAAACAGAATCGATAAACTCTTCCAACACGTTGCAACAATTGATGCGTTCGTCTTCTTCGAAATGTATAAAATTTTAATCAAAGATGAACTATGTCTCAGTAGAATATTTATGCAATAATCGAACGCAAACGACCAAAAAATGTTCAGGATTAATTCTGTCACTTGAAATATAAAAGTTGGTTCCGACTTTTGAAATCCACATGCACTTGCTTCGTTCGAGGTTTAGTTACTCTGGTTGTATTTGTTTTGCGGTGTTGTTCTCTGATAGATTTTTGTCGCTTTTTTGTTGTTTTTGTTGTCAGTAAATGCAATTACGTTTAATTTTACTTAAAGGACTGTTTTTCAAATGTGAATAACGCTATTTATAAATGAATATAACCATGAAATTTCTTATAATCGTAATCAAAGAAATGAGATATTTGGTGATTTTAAAAATTAGCATACATTCGATGCAGTATGCTTTGTATAGAACTTGACTACGTATTTATAATTATGAATTTATGATGCATACTTTAAAAGCAAAGTTTAGGAAGCTTTGAATTTTTTTTAACACCTTAATCATTTTGAACGCGCGTATAACTTTCACATATTCCTGACATTTTTTTCAAATCTTAAAGTTGTGAAAGCATTCATTTTTTGAAATAATGTTCGGATAGACTTTTGTTTTGAAGTGTTTATTATTGTTGTTAAGGGTCTTTGTTTTCGGCATTACAACTATTTAAATTTATCAAACAATCGCCCACACAAATATTTTTACACAAAAAACTGAATAGGTTATTGCATTGATTATTATTTTATTTTACCTGACTACATTGCTTATGCTTAAGGATCTTAAATTCATGAATCGTATTCACGAATGGCGTTTATTAATATATAGGGCAAAACAAAGCATGAAGCATTGTTTCCACAAGTTTATATGTTTTTACTGTTAGCAAAGTTAAGTTATGCAATTGACATGATCTTCAGGCACAGATACCTTTACATGCTTATTATTGTTAAAAAAAGCATTTACGAAAACTACGAATTCGTGAAGATCTTTGCTTAGCATTTTATTTAATGAAACAGGATTTACAAATGTCGTTGAGCGATTGTGGCCCAGACTCGTGCATCTTGTAACACCATGTATCACGTTATCAAACGTCACAAAGAAAATGCTAATGTTGATTCTATAAATATTTTTAATACTCCACAAGGTTCATCATTAGAGTCGATGTGAAAGGCGTTGTTACATAAATAAGGAATTGCATGAGAACCATGCTTTTCTTAAAGAATATTACAATATTTAGAACCTGAAGGCAGGATATACATACAAAGAATCAAATCTCTGGCCGTATCGCTTTTTAATGTCAAGGTGTGTTGATCTACTGCTCATACTAGAATGTTCGCCAGAAATTCTTAACAGCTTAAATAAGCGTTCTTGCACTCCGTTATCGGTCGAACCAGTCGAGCCACCCCACTTATCAGTCAGCCAGTTAATATAATTCCAGATATGTTAAAATCTATGATCTGTTTACTAAGGTGGTGTTTATATAAGTTTTCATAGATAAATTAGAATTTTGACGATGAAATTCCAACGATTACAGAACGGGAATTTTGGGATCACAAAAAAATTGTAATCATTAAATTTGATAATAAATATTTGAACTACAAAAATCAGTCGCGTGACTCATCTGACATACCCTAGATCCGCCCCTGCAGATAAGGACAAAACTTTGTTCAGATCTGTAAGTCAAAACATGCCACTGTTAGATGATGAGCATGAGATTATGAACGATGAAGAAAAGGCAAGAATAAAGAAAGAGGAGGCTCGTATGAAATCTTCGATTGCAAAGGAATACAATCATATTGTTGTAAAGCTAAAAGAACAAAGTTTCTTATTAGCAGTTTGGTCAAGCACCCGCAGTGGATGTGGTAAAATAGTGTACGAATTCTACGAAAAGCTTGTTCTCATTTGGGGTGTCTCCGCTAACACCGACCGACTATACAATTGTAACAAGTTCCGAAATTGTGAATAATCAAGTAAATCAACACGATAGGCTGCAAATTGAATTTAAACTAAATGAGAATTTTGTTGATATACAGTGTCTTCAAAACCAAGCACAAAAAATTTATCACAATACTTATGAATAACAAACGAAACATTTAATGAAGAGCCTTTCAGCTGCAGAGCGAGACAGAATTCTAATAAACGAAGCCAAGGAAGATAAAGAGGCTCGTAAAAATTTTACTGCAGCAATAAAGGAGTCAAATTCAAGTTATGGAATAAATGTGTAAATCTGTAAGTGAGGTTGGAGCTTGAGTAAGTCGCTCCTTGAAAATGCTGGCACATGCTACAACAGCAAAATATCACCCTATCAACCAAAATATATTTCACCATGGTTATACAACGAATGCCATATATGTAACACATCAACCATATAGTTTATAAAAATCTGCACCACATGCTCTCAAGGACAAACTTATTATGATAAGGATGAAAACGCTATTGTTGACTAAAAACTATTGCTAATGATAACAGTTAATAATTTTAGCATGGCAAAAAAATGAATAATATTTCTACATAAAATTATGTTGATTACAAACTTTTATAACTGCCAAGACAAGCAAGTCTATATTATTCTCAAAAATAAGATGTTTTCTACTCTCCGCTTATAAACTAAACATAAATTTTTGACTGTTCATTATTTAAGAAATAAAACATCTTTACTGTGTTTGCACAGGCTTAAGCAAACCGATGAGACCTTTGAGAGAATTCGAGAGCAAATCAGTGCAAGGCCGAGACCGAAGGTCGAGGGTTGCACATGCTCGAGTGTTCCCATAAACGACTCAGAGGTCGTTAGAGAATGTTTTACTGAATAAGTTTGTGATCGCTGGCCTGAATGGTTTATTGAAGTGCATATAAACCTTACAGGAGTTTAGTACAATTTGAAAGAACAACTCTTGAAATGAACAAATTAAAAAAACTAAATTGATTTACATTAAATCTATCTTGTAAAATTTTTGTTAAAAGTCTAAATTTACCATATATGTTTTTTACTAAGCGGTGTGGTATCAATTGCATGTTGTGACGCCATGTAAGAAACACAGTTCGCATGGTTTTATTTAATTCAAGACAAACTGTCTGCTGTAAATAACCCGAAAGCGTCCTTTGTTTAAAAACTGGCTTTATCTAGGTCAGTAATATCATCGTTGGATTCATCAGAAGATGAAATTTATGACATAGAATAGAATGAAGAAAGAAGAATCAAAATAATTTCCTTGTGCTCTACTTCATCTGCTTTGTCTTGGATCAGTTATTCCTTCATTTTCGCATTCATTAGTACATCAATATGGCCAAATGTCATTGAGAAACGAGTAAAATCTGCAAGAGCAGCTTGAAGCGACTTGCTACTGAAGTGTTTATGAAGTTTTCCTCTTTTGTTTGCACCAACGCTCCTCATTTTCTTCCATGATCGTACACCATTTATCCATGCTGGGTGCCATTTTTCTCGTCCTGGTTCCACTTGGAATTAATGAGTATACAAAGCAATATGCTTTATTTGCCTACTGACTGTACTCAAGATGAGGGAAAGAGTCGTACCAAGATGCGTTAAATTTGTTAGGTATATTTTTGGCGTTTGTTTGATTTACAGGAAAAGACTTCAATCTAGGTTGACAGGGTCCTTGTTGCAAGAGAAAGTTTCTTTGATCGTCATTCATATCTCGTGGCCTTTCGCTTGGATCATGACAAGTAATTTTAGTGCTTTCCTCTAAAACTGGGCAACCAATTTCAATTTCATCTCGCTGTGCTTTGTTGATGACAAGTGAACAATTTTATACCAGTTTCACAAGAAAACTCTTGTACTTTTTTGCTATGTGCTTCACTTTTTCTGAAAAGCGCTTCGCGTTTACGTGTATATCATCATCTATTATCACTTCATTAAGAATATTCTCACACTGATGAAAAAGTTGTGATAGAATTCTTAACTGTCCTGCACAAGTGATCCATTTAATATCTTCTTTGTTATCTGAATCACAGCTTAATGATTTCTCGTATTGTGCAGCCTAAACGTATAAAGACATTATAAAAAAGACACATGTGGTAAATTAAATATAAAAATCTTCTTATAACTTATGAATAAATGACAATTGAAAATTTCGTATTAAAAAAGATTCGTATTTTTATTCTGAACAATCAAAAGACTAATAAAGTATGTATTATATGCTTTAATCTTAACGTCTACCTTTTCATTTGAACTTTCATCACTCAGCAAACAAATATTTTCTACTGCTCCAAATCCCACGACGTGACTGTTAACAGAAGTGTCGTCTTCCAAAAATAATAGTTCTCCAATAGCTCACAAAAAATAATTAACTTTTTCGTTAATATTATCATCTACCATTACCTCAAATTCTGCTATTTCATGTGTACCAGACATGTTGTCTTCTATAGTAAACGGATTTTCTGAAACAGCACATGACTCCACCTCTTCTTTGTTTTTTCTTCACACACAACGACAGCTGTTTCAGTTATCTAGTTGCAGCTGGTGCTGCTTGACTCTAATGACTTCATACTTTTATAAACATTAGTTTAAAACAGACTTTTAAAACAAGTCCTTTGTTACTGTACTTTTATGAATTTCAAAACAAATTTTAACTTACATTGCACGCCTCAAATGAAAGTCTTTTTTTGACGGATCAACGATGTTGATAGTTTTGCCATTTCCTTTGTGAGTGGAATTATTATGTTTAGAAAAATTATCATTGAAAATTTCTTTATTACATGCAGAACACTTAATTTTTTTCTCTTGTTGGTGATAACTTTGGAATTCTCTGTTATAATCACAATAAATACCAATCACAATTACACATTTGTTAGTTTCTGGTTTTTTTGTTTAAACAATTGCTTTTACTTACCATTTATCCTTGATATTCCTTGTTCGTAAAATAAACTCTACAAAAACTAGCTACTGAAAAACTTCAATCAATTTAAAACAACAAACTTTATCTTAGTGTTTGTGTTTACTGATATAAAGATATAGTATGGTGTTTCCACTTAAGATATAAAACCTTCAATAATTTTACTTACAAACACTTCTTAAAAGCAAACGAAAGAGCGATGGTAATTCACTACAGTTGGTAATTTTGGAGCAACAAGCTGCAAACGTTCTTCGATTTGCGATACAGACGACCTGAAGTATTCAAAGTAGTACTAATCCCTGTCTAATAATCTCATTTCTTCTACAAGAAGGTAAAACTCTCCTCCTTGCTATTTTCCTGCTTTTGCAGTTGCATTCTTCTTCTCAAGTGCAAAGGCATCATTAATATTTTTGTTCTAAGTTTAGCGATGATGATGCATATTTGTTTTTAAAATGTCCTCCAAATAAGAGGAAATTTATAAACGAAAAGTTTACTTGATGCGTACAGTTTACCGCTTACCGTTTTCACTTCTCACCGTGAAGTGCTAATCCAGCTTAAATTGAAACTGAACTATATTTTCAAATTATGTGGATAACTTTTCGCACGAATTCTTGTGTTTGGTTTTGTATTTAGCCCTGCAAACTCAATCGTTGCTCTGCAACGTTAATATTTTTTGGGGGTTAGTCCCCCCCCATACCTCCATTAAATTTTGCCCCTGGATGCAAGAGCTCTAAAGTTTAGAATTGTTTTATATTCTGGGCGTTGTTGCTGATGCTACTAGTAAACCTAGCTGATAAACATTTCATTTTTCTTTTTGTTATATCTATCTTATAAAGTAAATATGGCTTGAATGTTTTCTATAATTTTTGATTTATTCTCAGCACATACATTTGTTAACAATCTTCGGGATGTTGGTATTTATTTAGAATCTCTTTTAATTTGGTAGCTTGAAAATCTTTGTTGAGCTTTGTGTTTTTTTCATTTCCTATTTTTTAACTAGCTTGCTCCTTACAACATAAAGTTTTGAGCGATTTCGGACGGGCGATCATTTGTATCTTTCACTTCATTTCTAATATTCTTTCTAAACTCAAATTTCCATTATATTAGTTGATTATAATCTCCAAGTTTTACAAAGTATGTTATATATCACCATTTTGCTTATAAAGATTGGTCATTGCAGAGAAGTTTGCAACAATTTTCATTGACAATGGAGTACGCGGCAAGAAGGAAGTAAAAGACAAAAACGTCCACTTTAACCACTTTGTGGGGTGTACTGAATACTTATTAGCTACATTTTTCAAAGTTTTGATGCATTGCGCATCAGAGCTCAAAATTTTACATATGATTTTAAGTTTTTCAATTTTTTTGCGCAAGCAGTTAAAATAAAGGCTACTCTATCACATTTAGACATTAGTTTTTCTGACTATTATGTATTTTAAATAAGTTACACTATGCAAAACACTTAGATATTAACACAGTTTCGAGAAATTTGATAAAATGATTTTTCTAGACTATAGAATTTTTTTTACCTTTTGTAATACATCTATCAAAAGCAGCAAAATTTATCATGACTAACTCCAGAATCTATTTTGAAGTATTTGTAATTAATGATTGTATTCTTTTGAGAATAATTCTATATGAAATTGTTTTATGAATGGAAAGCATATAATGATTTAATATTGTTTTTTAAATTTTTCTATTGCTTCGTATACCACGAAGCATATATATACAACTGGCTAACTTGTGCATGCATCCTGCCACTGTGACACAACCATAGTTAATGACGTTGTAAAGTGCATTGTATTAGTGAATATTCATAGGTGATAACATACTCAGAAGATTACAACATTACAGAAATTCTTGTTCGTGCACTACAATTTTTTCATTGCCAAAACATGAAGCCTTTCAACTGTCGTTAACTTGTTGTTTGACCAATTTAACATTTAAAATAACATGGAAAACGTGTAAATTTAAGCTGAACAACCCAATGAGAGTTGAGAAACAAGTCCATTATCACGATAACTTACTTTTTCAAAACAAATAGGGTATTGACCAGTCCTCCCTTTAATGGTGCTTTCAGTTTCAAAAACCTACTGGAAACAAGCATTCGAAGCAGAAACCAAGAGTACTTTCTAAAAATTTTGGTGTCCATGGTTACCAGGACAAAATTAATGTTGTATCATAAAAATTAAAATTTCAAAAATAATAACCTCATTTTAACCTGAAATTTAATCATCCTAAACTGTCCAAGAATTATTCTTGTTTTAAGAAATAAAAACTTAGCTGTACAAAAGTTGCGTATTTTATAGATAGAGCATTACTTTTTTTTCCTCCTATCGAGCTACGTAAGAGATATTGCAAATACTTTAAATTATTATATTTCGTTTACAGATGGAATCAAAAGAAGAGAGAAACTGGAATTATCTTTACAAAATGATTACAGATGTGGTTCGAAAGGAGCTTGCTGACTTATTTATTCAAGAATGGAATAGAACAGCGTACGGGGAATGGGATAACACAGTCAGTAGTGGTCAGAAACTTTACAATATAGAGTTAACAAGGTGCCGACCAAACAAGTCGATTCTTCAATCTAATTTCCAAAGTGGAAACACGAGTAGCTGGGATTGCAGTACATTATTTGATGCAATACTTTACTCAAACGCAATAGGACACAGCCTAAAAATGTGTAACAAGAAGATATGGGATTCTGTCAATGATCTTCGATTAGTTCGAAACACCATAATCCATGAAAAACAAGGGAATCTGTCGGAAATTGAATTTCAAGACTTGGTTGATAAAATAGAAAAATCTTTTAGAAATTTAAACTTTTCCCAAGACAAAATTATTTACATGAAAACTGAACGAAACAAATTTAATTCATTTCTTGTTCTTCCGTGTAAACCAAATCATTATGTAGTTGAGCGCACTGCATTACGGGATCAAATTATTGAAGATCTTAAAAAGTTGAGGAATGATAACAATAATGAGCTGACATATTTCTACATTTCTGGAAACCCAGGCAGTGGTAAGTCTCAACTTGCAAGACAAGTTTGTAAAGAAAAGTTTGAGTCGTTTGATTGGCAAAACCAAACTACGTTTGTGTGGACTCTTGATGGTAAAGACAAGGAGTCTCTTTTTAAAAATTATCTTGATCTTTGTTACCGTATAAACTGTGATAACTTCAGAATAAAACAATACTCCGAAGAAAATCTTGCCATTACAGAGAAAATTAAGAACTTGCTATCATTACTATTAACCCGAATAAATTTATGGCGCAACTGGTGGATTATTGTTGATAACGTTGCTCAGCCGAACAAAATCCATCCATTACTACCTAAAATAGGCGAGCATGGCTGGATGAACGGACAAATTATATTAACTGTACAAAATACAGAAGGTATACCTCACAAAGAAGTGTTGAGTAGACACGTTTCGATTAGTCATGGGATGAATGACAAAGAATGCTTTGAGTTGTTAAATCATTACACTGAAGATAAAAATGCCGATGTTCAATTGTTAAATGACGTAATAGACACGTTACATCGTCAACCGCTGGCTTTGGCTGCTGCCGGGTATTACGTCGATAATGTCAACAAAGCCAACTGTAATTTCACATGGAAACAATATTTAGAAAAATTGTCTTCTGGAAAGCAAGAAGAGATGGACAAAACTCTTGCAAAAGACAACACAGAATATTCTAAAACTATGCTACAGGCAGCTGTTTTAGCTGTTGAAATAAATGCACAAAACTCTTTAATTCTGGCAAATGTTTTTAAATTTTTTTCCCTGCTTTCGTTTCATCCATTGCCAAGAGATATTATTGTCAAATACATTCAATCAACTGATGTCACACAGTCTGTCGAAGATATATGTCTTGCTTTAGAACACTGCTCTTTGTTTACGTATTCCGAAAATGAAGACATTTGTCTGCATCGTGTTTTTCATGAGGCAATGATTGTTTATCAACGCAGTTTTAGTCATAAAAAATATGAAACGGAGCACAATTGCAATTCCACGACTTTTGAGGACGCTTTATCCCAAGTTATTGAGGCACTTCATAGTTTTAAAGACCGAAAAGATCAAGTGAAATTGATTCCACATCTTGAAAAATTTCTAACGTTGAATTTATCAAAGATAAAAGTTGACTTAAATTCTGTGGAAGCTTTAAAATTTCTAGAAGGAGCTTTACGAGATTTCAAAAAATTGAACCTTGCGAATCAGCTAGTAGAAAAAATAATGTCAAAAACAGGTGAATCAAATTTTAATGAAAAAACTTGGTGTTTTATTGAGCTAAGTAGAATATACTATTACAACCAGGAATATGAACAAGCAAATTTCTTTAATGAGACAGCTATGGAGTTTTTGAAAAAATCATCTAATCCTATTGTGGTTGCTAAGTCTTTAAACATCCTTGGAAATTTACACTCTGAAAAAAGAGAATACAAAAGAAGTGAAGAGTTTTACAAAAAAGCTCTAGAATTGCGAAAAAAGTTATTAGGGCCAGATCATGTTGAAGTCGCTGATTCTTTATGCAATCTTGGTATTTTATATTATAATTGTGGAAAATATGAAACAAGTGAAAACTACCATAAAGAAGCACTGGAAATGCGAAAAAAGCTATTAGGCCCAGATCATGTTAAAGTTGCTGATTCTTTAAACAGTCTTGGTATTTTGTATACTAAAACTGGAGAATATGAAAAAAGTGAAAACTACCATAAAGAAGCTCTGGAAATGCGAAAAAAGTTATTAGGGCCAGATCATGTTGATGTCGCGAATTCTTTATGCAATCTTGGTATTTTATATTATAATTGTGGAAAATATGAAAAAAGTGAAAACTACCTTAAAGAAGCTCTGGAAATGCGAAAAAAGTTATTAGGGCCAGATCATGTTGATGTCGCGAATTCTTTACAAAGTCTTGGTTTTTATTATTATAATTGTGGAAAATATGAAAAAAGTGCAAACTACTATAAAGAAGCTTTGGAAATGCGAAAGAAGTTATTAGGCCCAGATCATGTTAAAGTTGTTAATTCTTTCAAAGATCTTGGTGGTTTGTATAAAATAATTGGAGAATATAAAAAAAGTCAAAACTACTATAAAGAAGCTCTGGAAATGCAAAAAAAGTTATTAGGGCCAGATCATGTTGAAGTTGCTAATTCTATAAACAATCTTGGTATTTTATATAGTAATTCTGGGAAATATGAAAAAAGTGAAAACCACTATAAAGAAGCTCTGGAAATGCGAAAAAAGTTATTTGGGCCAGATCATGTTGAAGTTGCTAATTCTATAAACAATCTTGGTAATTTATATAGTAGTTGTGGGAAATATGAAAAAAGTGAAAACTACTATAAAGAAGCTCTGGAAATGCGAAAAAAGTTATTAGGGAAGGATCATGTTGATGTCGCGAATTCTTTATACAATCTTGGTATTTTAAATGATGATTGTGGAAAATATGAAAAAAGTGAAAACTACTATAAAGAAGCTCTCGAAATGCGAAAAAATTTATTAGGGCCAGATCATGTTGATGTCGCTAATTCTTTAAATAATCTTGGTGTATTGTATATGCATGCTGGAGAGAATGAAAAAAGTGAAGAATATCACAAAAGAGCTCTGGAAATGCGAAAAAAGTTATTAGGGAAGGATCATGTTGATGTCGCTAATTCTTTAAATAATCTTGGTTTATTGTATAGGCATGCTGGAGAGAATGAAAAAAGTGAAGAATATCACAAAAGAGCTCTGGAAATGCGAAAAAAGTTATTAGGATCAGATGATGTTAAAGTTGCTACTTCTTTAAACAATCTTGGTATTTTATATGAAGACACTCTAGAATATGAAAAAAGTGAAAACTGCCATAAAGAAGCTCTGGAAATGCGAAAAAAGTTATTAGGATTAGAGCATGTTGACGTCGCGTGTTCTTTATACAATCTTGGTACTTTATATTATAATTGTGAAAAATATGAAAAAAGTGAAAACTGCCATAAAGAAGCTCTTGAAATGCGAAAAAAGTTATTGGGCCCAGATCATGTTGAAGTTGCTAATTCTTTAAACAATCTTGGTGCTTTGTATACAGAAACTGGAGAATACGAAAAAAGTGAAAACTGCCATAAAGAAGCTCTGGAAATGCGAAAAAAGTTATTAGGATCAGATCATGTTGATGTTGCTGATTCTTTATACAATCTTGGTTATTTATATTATAAATGTGTGAAATATGAAAAAATTGAAAATTACTATAAAGAAGCTCTGGAAATGCGAAAAAAGTTATTAGGCCCAGATCATGTTAAAGTTGCTACTTCTTTAAACAATCTTGGTGTTTTGTATACAAACACTGGAGAGTATGAAAAAAGTGAAAACTGCCATAAAGAAGCTCTTAAAATGCGAAAAAAGTTATTAGGACCAGATCATATTGAAGTTTCTAGATCTTTAAAAAATCTTGGTAACTTGTATACTAAAACTGGAGAATATGAAAAAAGTGAAAACTACTATAAAGAAGCTCTGAAAATTCGAAAAAAGTTATTTACGGCTAAATCATGTTGATGTCGCGGATTCTTTACACAATCTTGGTCTTTTATATTATAATCGTGAAAAATATGAAAAAAGTCAAAACTACTATATAGAAGCTCTGGAAATGCGAAAAAAGTTACAAGGCCCATATCATGCTAAAGTTTCTAATTCCTCAAAAAATCTTGGTGACTTGTATACTGAAACTGGAGAATATGAAAAAAGTGAAAACTGCCATAAAGAAGCTCTGGAAATGCGAAAAAAGTTATTAGGATCAGATCATGTTGATGTCGCGGGCTCTTTATACAATCTGAGTACTTTATAATATAATTGTGGAAAATATGAAAAAAGTGAACACTACTATAAAGAAGCTCTGGAAATGCAAGCAAAGTTATTAGGCCCATATCTTGTTCATGTTGCTAATTCTTTATACAATTTTTGTATTTTATATGCAGAAACTGAAAAATATGAAAAAAGTGAAAGCTACTATAAAGAAGCTCTGGAAATGCCAAAAAGTTATTTGGATCAGATCATGTTAATGTCGCGGATTCTTTATACAAACTTGGTGCTTTTTATTATAACTGTGGAAAATATAAAGAAAGTGAAAACTACTATAATGAAGCTCTGGAAATGCGAAAAAATTTATTAGGGCCAGATCATGTTGATGTCGCTAATTCTTTAAACAATCTTGGTGTATTTTATATGCATGCTGGAGAGAATGAAAAAAGTGAAGAATATCACAAAAAGAGCTCTGGAAATGCGAAAAAGGTTATTAGGGAAGGATCATGTTGATGTCGCTAATTCTTTAAATAATCTTGGTTTATTGTATAAGCATGCTGGAGAGAATGAAAAAAATGGAGGATTTCACAAAAGAGCTCTGGAAATGCGAAAAAAGTTATTAGGATCAGATGATGTTGATGTCGCGGAATCTTTATACAATCTTGGTACTTTATATTATAATTGTGAAAAATATGAAAAAAGTGAACACCACTATAAAGAAGCTCTGGAAATGTAAACAAAGTTATTAGGCCCAGATCATATTAAAGTTTCTAATTCTTAAAACAATCTTGGTATTTTTTATAGTAAAACTCGAGAATATGAAAAAAAGTGAAAACTACTATAAAGAAGCTCTGGAAATGCAAAAAAAATTATTAGGATCAGATCATGTTGATGTCGGCAATTCTTTACACAAACTTGGTGCTTTATATTAAAATTGTGGAAAATATAAAAAATGTGAAAACTACTATAAAGAACTTACATATTTCTACATTACTGGTAATCTCGGCAATGGTAAAACTCAACTTGCAAGACAAGTTTGTAAAGAAAAGTTTGAGTCTACCGATTGGAAAAATGAAACCACATTTGTGTGGACTCTTGATGGTAAAGACTTTGAGTCTCTATTTAAAACATATTCTGATCTTGGTTACTGTGTTAACTGTGATAAACTTAGGACAAAACATCCCTCAGAGGAAAATACTGACATCACAGAGAAAATCAAGAATTTGCGATCATTACTATCAACTCGAATAAAATTTTGGAAAAAATGGTGGATTATTGTGAACAACATTTCCGAGGACCTAATGTTAAAGAAACATATATAAACTTAAAAAGCTTCTCTTTCCTCTGAAATTTTAAATAATTATCGTAATTAGCTTTGATTGGTAACATAAGGCAGCCTTGTGTTCAACAAGTTGTGTTCAACATTTTATTCAGCATAAAGCAGCCTATTGTTATGGAACTTATTGCAGTTTGTGTTCGAAGAATTTAATTTAATAACCACACGAACGGTCTATTCATTTATGGACGAGTAAGAATGGGAGAAATTATTTTCTCCATTTTTTGCGAATACATTGTAGAGTAGCTCCCATAGCTTGTTAAGGAGTGTTTTGACTTCAAGTTATACCAGTCTGATTTGTACCTCCGTAAATTTTGCATTTTGCAGAGGCATTGCGTGAGAAGGAGTTTCAGAAAACTCAATTTTTTGACCCGTCAAGATCTTCAGTATTTCTGTATCTTATGTTAAAGCCAACCATTTAGAAACTCATGCATCTAATAGAACTGCCTTAAACGTTTTAGTTTTGTCATTATGGTAAGCCATCATTGAAGGCAAGAGAATAATATATTGGCTCTCTATGCAATTTTGTCAAAATTGTATATTGCTGTAGTCTCTACTAATTCACATGATGATTTTGATTGAACTGATGCCTGCATTTTTCCTGTACTGTGGCTTGAGCTTAGTTGTGGCTGTTAACAACCAATGACTTCTGTTGGCACGTTTTTGTTGATACTTGTTGAGAAGTGTATTTGCGTCTGGATGGAAATAAAACACCACTTGCTGCATGTGCTTCTAATTTTGTTTGATGTTTTTATATGACTTTGCTTCTCAAATTAATTACAGGCACATGTGAAACGCACATTGTAGGATACTGAATCATACTCATTGTTGAGTGTTGAGTGAATAACATATGCGTCTTTCTTTAGCAAAATCATAACAGATATAGCACGTGATAGGAAAAGTGCTCATGTTCTTGAAAATTAGGCTTTCAACATCGAGGTTGTTGTTTTCTGCCGGAGGTGTAAACAACATATCTGTTATCTGCAAGACCGCTTAGTTACTGTTATAGCTTAATAAATTTTTTCTAAAATCAGACATTTTTTTATAAATCTTCGCTTGATTGGAAAATAATTATAATGATTTAATACGAGAATTAGCTATCGCTAAATATAATGAGATTGCTATCGCTAAATATAGTCTGAGTCAAGATTCTCAATTGTGTGTACGTCTCAATGGCTATCTTTCTGACTACAAATACAGACACAGAACTTTGAACGCTTATGAAGCTAATCATACGCTAATTAAAATTATCAATTTAGAGACACATAGGAATTTGCATTATTCTTTAAGACATACACATTTGTTACACAATAAGCACTCAGGTGCCACTTATTGGAAGCTAAGTGCTACTTGAATATTGCTAGGTGCCACTTGAACACGGCAGGGTGCCACTTGACCATGGCAGGGTTCCACTTGACCATGGCAGGGTGCCACTTATTAGGGGTAAGGCTTACTTTCGGAAGGGAATTTCTTAATAGTATAACGTATTTTGCTAAAATATGAACAAGACTCAATATCTATATATTATAGTCACTGTCACATTGCAGTAGGTGTATGCTTAAGAATACATGTAACATACATTCAAGTTTTATCTCTTCCCGTAATCTATTAGGAAACAACGACCGGAAAATCAAAGAGACTGATGTGAATTGACCTTCTTTCTACTGTTTTGCGTCTCAGAGCACTGGCTGCTTTTAAACGTCTTGAAGGACCACAAGCTGTCTAAACCTAATTTTGTATTCTCCTCCAAATTCTTTCTGTCTTTCTCTATTCTAAAGAGCCCTTAATTATTTACAAACAACTTACTTGACATTTCCTTAATAGAAATAAACAATGGCAATGTTAATATAGAGCTGTAACAAAAGAATTTAAAAAGATGTGTACATTTTTTCACTGATTTTGATGCATTTATAATGTTTATTAAAGATATTGTATTTACAAATATTTTTAAGAAGCAGCTCTTCAAATGACACTATAATGACAAAAAAACTTGACTGAGTTACATTAATGAACATCCCATTAATGAACTCCTTAAAAATTTATGGAGAACTTTGTTGTCATTGTTGAAGACAGAACTGGTAGATATGATGCAACCATAAATGCAGCTTCAATAACTAATATGTTAGTCAAACATAACGTAAAAAGAATGTATTATTTTCTAAAATTATTCACAATTAATGAGTTCACTTTTCGCAAAGAATTTTTTTGTTACGCTTGTCAAATAAAGCAACAGAATAAGACTTAACTATTGTTTATGTCATGCAAAAACAAAAATCAATTGATGTTGTAATGAGTTTAAAGAGAACAAACGGTGTTTACATGTTGGAGAAAAATATTTTTTAATCGCATCAATTATACAATAAAGACTGGTAAGAATTATCCCTATTAACCTAAAAACAGTTGGCATGATATCATAACATGTAACACATATTTTTTTTCATTTTGTGACATAATACTATGGATGAAATGTTTAGTTGCTTTTCATGACGTCACTTTTATAAATGACGATTTGACAGCTCACATACAGCCATTAGACAAGTCGCTAACGCTTTTAAAGTTTAATAGAAAATTAGTGCTTGTTTTAAGAATAATTTCAACATTATTGCTAATGGCATTTTGTACATGCAAAATTCGATCAAATCGACCATGTATTCATATAATGCTCTACAAAATTGGAAAAAAATGCAAATCAATTTTCAAATAACCACAAAATTATTACAAAAATGTTTGAAACTGCTAGTCATGTATATTTTGCAGTTTTCCTATAACTAGCTAAGTCTATTAATAGGAATATGCTTTAAGTCATAATAATACTGAAAATGTAAAAAAATGAATAATTGAAGAATTATTTTGTATTTTATGAGAAATGTTTATTATACTATCAGCAAGCTCATCATATAGACATAAATAAGAAAAAACTATTTCATGATTACCTCGATTTTTTATGAACCTCCTAATAGCACTAAACAACGTATTTTTAGTTAATAAAAATTTAGTATAAACTGCTTGATGTACATACTTAATTAAAAAAAATGTATGTTGCCATCGTAAAGAAAGTGTAAAACATAAAAATTGATGCATAGTGTTCATAAAAATGTTCATTATTGCGTGTATATGCCATGTAAACTGTCCACTAAATAACTCCGTTTTCAAGATTAGATAAATGAATTTTTGTAATTATTAATAAACAAATAATCAGAGTGGTTAGTCTCTTTGATATAGAATAACAAAGCTTGACTACTCTACATAAGTTACAAATAACCAATAATGAACATACTACAATGAAATCTGTCAACGCAGTTTAGAGGAATTGTCTCTACAGATCAAGACGACAAAAGAACGGTGTGACGATCTCGTAATCAACAAAGACATATTTACATGTTTTTAAATGTCGATCGTCCAGGTTGGTATAGTCCTGAGAAGGACTGTTTTTTTTTGTTGTTGACTGACGTTTCGACAACCTTAGCGGTAGTCATCTTCATAGTCAGAAACATTTTCAGACATTTTCATCTTCAGACATTTTGACTATGAAGATGACTACCGCTAAGATTGTCGAAACGTCAGTCAACAACAACAAAAACAGTCCTTCTCAGGACTATACTAACCTGGACGATCGACATTTACAAACAAGTAACGATACTCCTGGGTTCAAACCATTTACTTTAAAGACATATTTATTATAATTATTTTCATTCATTCAGATTTTCTTTTTCTAGTACTCTGAGTCTTTTTAAATTTTAACTAACTGACTTGTTTTATAATTCAGAAGCGGTGAAGCTGCAATTAGATTTTGTTTGCACACCCATGATCCGTCATTTACAGCGCATCACAGCTACAACTCTCTTGAATAGGACATTTTATCGTAGTAAACCACATATAACCAAACTAAAGACGTAACTCGCAAATATAATAATCGTCAAACATGTCTACAAATTAATACAAGTTCGTGATTTAAATATTCAAAACGCTTACAAATTATTAGAGTTTCAGTCTCTTAACACAGCTTTGATGTATATATTGGCCAATTTGCATAAAAAACTGAATGTCAGTTTGAATCATTAAACAGAATGCATTAAAATATAAAGAAAGAAGAAAAAGTTTCATTACTTCCCTTGCAAGATTTCTCGAAAATGGAAAGTATTGCAGTTAGATAATTTTTTCTCACAATTCCACTCTAATGCCTCTTAAAAGAAGTTGTGAAATGTTGAATGGTCGGAGGAATGTAAAATCTTCCTTTAGAAAAAATTGCACCAAAGAATGATTTCAGTTGATCCTGACTCATCTTATAAAAATAAGTAAAGACTTCATCCGGGGCGCATGGTACTCGATCATTGCGATCCTTAGGGCCTGTTCATATGAGCCCTGTTAGCGAGACATCTCGCCTACCTATGATCTTGCTTTGCAATACATTTACTGTTTATATTTACGTCGTGTTCATATGAGAAAGCGGGCTGGCCCGGTTGCCGAGATCTCGGCTGTAGGAAACGTTATCATAGGTAGGCGGGATGAAAATTTTCCATTTGAACTCGTTTAAATTCTAGTTGTGTCCAGATAAAACAGGCCTTTAAAAAGCCCGGACATATAGACTTAAGCCTACTCAGCCCACTGGATAATCTGTCCCTGATCATTAAGGCTTCTTTCAGCAAAGCCAACCCATAATTTCAATAAACAACATGGGTGGAAGTTTTAAGTAAATGTAGAGGTTCATTAATTAACGAATTTTTTTTTGTGTTTTTTTTTCATGTTAAAGTTGTGGTGATTAGTTGTTTTTGACCACGGATGTAGCAATTTATGCGATGAAGGTTTGGTGTTGTTTTGGATAATTTCGTCAAGTAAACAGACACATTTCAAGAACATATGGCCACCGACTTCAAAATGGTCCTTTTGCTTGCGCCAAAGACGCAACATTGGTGGTCGGGGGACATGCATCCACGAGTAATTTTTGATTTTATATAGCCATCATTTTGAGGACACTTTTAAACAAGAAAATAAAGGAAAAAAGTGATGATAATAAACTTATTTATACAAAGTGTATTTAAATTTTTATAAATCATAATAATTTGCTTATATCTCCCATAGCAACCACAGAAAGCAACACTAAGTCGAGAGAAACGCTGACACTCACAGCCTCCTCACACTCACACTTTATATCTTCATAATGGACAATTTTGAATGGAAAACGATTAAGGTAACACAAGCAAAAGACTTTATACAATAGTTATGTGATTATTTCTATTTCTGCATAATCCTATGAAGTATATATTAAAGTGAATGGTTTGAACTAAAGAGTATCGTTACGTTACATGTTTGTAGATGTAGATTGTCCCGGTTAGTAGAGTCCTGAGAAGGACTGTGGGTGTTGATGTTGACTGACGTTTCAACAATTTTAGCGGGAGTCATCTTCAGAGTCAAGTGATTCGGAAGTTAACTCTGGAGATATGATACTGACGTGAAAACGTCAGTCAACATCAACAACAACAGTCCTTCTCAGGACTCAACCAACTGAAGTGTATAGTAATTACTATAAATCAATTGACTCAACTAACCTGACGATCTACATCTACAAAGAAGCAAGTATTATAAAAAATGTTCCTCTTATTTGTTGCCATTTATTAAATAATTGAAAACTGCTTTGACAATTGACAAGTGCTGTTATGTTCATGATGACAGTTGTTGATAAATTCAAAAGAGAACCAAATATTTGTTTTGTTATTGTCCTTTAACTTTTAATTGTATTGTTATATCCTTTCAAAATATTTTAATGGATGACTGATTCTTGCAAATAGGTTGCATCCAAGTTAACCTGAACCAAATTAAAGTCACCTCTTTTTATATACTTGCCTATAAGCAGCTAGTACGAGTCATCGTTTCATATACACCTTTATTATAAATTACAAGCTGATATGTTTTTACATTTTATAGAACATATTGGCTTGATATTGGTTCTGTTATAACCAGAGAACATGGCCTTGTTATTTGATAATCGTATTCAAAGTACATTAACATCCAACACTGAGATTGCATGGCATAGAACATATTCTCTGTTGGCTGTTGCATCCAAGAACTCAATAGATGATGGTGGTGCAGTAAACTTTTACCTTGATGAAGTAAGATATAAATTGAATAGCGAAGTCCTGGACATGAATCTGAATGTATTTTGTTGCACATGTGAGAGATTTTGGGTACTTGTATACCGAAGTTGAATTATGTAACCATTGCACATACATTTCCTTTATCACTAAAGCATGATATAAAATTTATATTTAGTGTTTCTTTTGTCCAAATGTACATAAATATGTACAAAACTCATCTTTAAAAGGCTTATAATATTGTACAAGTTCAAGTGAAGTACTGTTATGCCAACAATATTATTTAGGGCATACAATGAAAATGACTGTGAAAATGAAAATACTAATAAAAAGTTTTTATTGACAAGCATATTGTTTGAAAAATGCAGCTTTAAAAGGTTATGGATGGGTTTTGCCAAATTTGTCAAAATTTTACTTGAATTGTGTATATATATATATATTATACCATATTATTCATTACCGGTACAGAATTTTCTTGAAAAATAGTAGTTTTGAATATAATTTTTGTAATATAAAAATGCACAGTTCCTGCAGTGTTAACATTCTTAAATTTCATGCTCTGTTAAACAATTGAATTTTAATAACAATCACTCACCAATATGGCTGCGATTGGCATATTATGATAGCATACCGTACAGGGGTACTAGATAGGTATGCAAACTACTTACTGTTCTCATCTATTCTTTGATTCTTAAACATTCTTTGATTTAAGTTCAATATTTAGTTGCAAATATATTCAAAGTGACATGGTGTTTTTGTTATTGACAGTATACAAAAGGACTCTTAAATCTCCTCATTCAAATGGTTTAAAATAGAAATTTAGTGTTCAAATGAATCATTTCCTTACATTTATTTTACATCTTGGGGAAAATTTTTTCATTTGTTTGATGTTTCTGTGAGTAGTGTATCTTGTTTACTGGTTTGTGTCCACATTGTATGTACGTACGTACTATTGCTTGTTTTTGACTTCATTTTCTGCCTCAACAACATTTGATTTGGTTTTTATTCTTTAATAGGGTGAACCATTAGGGTGAGTCCAATGTAATTAAATCTTCATGTCAAGTATCTTCTATGTCATGGCATCCAGTTTGCAAGATTATTGCAATTGGTTGGACCAGTGGAGAGTTGAACATGTGGAATGAACATGATCATGACTTACATGAAGTGTACAGTATTCACAAAAGTAACATTACTGTAATCAAGTGGAATCATAATGGACAGAAGCTTGTTACTGCTGATCAGGTAGGAATACATAAAATCCTTGAAATTAATTTATACACATTCTTTTACTAACTGGAGTAATTTCTTTTGTAAATCACACATGCTCCATTGCATAATGCCAAGTTGCTAACCATTTTCTTAACTACCATGGATAATTTCTGGTGCATTCAACAAAATATTCATTGAAGCAAATGCATACTCACGTATTTTAGGGTCGTGATTAGTCGTTCCAATATGATTTTAGACTTAAAATTTATCTCATCTGTGTATAATGCTGCAAAATATCATAGAATCTTACAGAATCTTACTCATAAATTTTGTCATGCACGTGAATTCTTGACAGAGCACGAGCAGAAAAATATAACATTACAATTTAAACCAAGTAATTATTCAAAAAATGTCAAACAATTGCGTACATAAACAATAGTTTATGTTGTAGCCATGACACTGGCGTTGATAGTAAAATGACAATTCACCTGTTTTCGTCGATGATAAATTTATCAAACTTTTAACTCTGTCCAACGTGTATCGAATCTCCGTACGTCACGGATTTGTGTGTCACAAAAGTTGCATTATCTGAAAGATGACGACTTGCACTTTTTAAGAAATCTTTTCAACTTAAAAAAATTTTCTTTGAAAGAGAAAATTTATTTCTTTAGAATGGTATACTTGGCATATGGAAAGCAGATTCAAAAGGAGGTTTATCACATGCTCCTATACGTCAACACGATTGTGGCTCTGCCATTACAGCTTGTCTCTTTAGACGTCTATCATCTCAGGAAAATGCTCTGTAAGTTAACAATAAGTTGATCTCAATTTTGTCCTACTTAATGTTACCGTTATTGGTATACAACGGGGTAATCTCTGTACAAGTACGTATGCCAAAGGCTTTGGAAGCTTTCAAGAGTTGTGAGTGTTCTATACTCGCTGCGTCATTAAACTAGAAACTTAGAATAGTAATAGAATTATTTCATATTAGTTTTTGTCAATCAGTTTTTCTTTTTCTAGCAAACATTACAAAAAATCCTCCAAAATCACTTTGTTGTGTTTTATTATATGCAAATAATTTGCACATTTCGTCAATTTTCAAACCATTTGAAGTTCCCTAGCCCTTGGTGCCCTTTCAATAATTTAAAAATTTGGTACACCCATCAAAAACGATCACTTAAAAAAGCTAAATTTGCGGTGTCCTTCTTATAAGGTACACCTACACAACAAAAATTTCACTTATTGCATTTCTTCGCTTTTTTGTGTTATCTCTTATACTATTGAAATTATGAGTTTTTTTTCTGTTTCTCTCGAACTATATGTTTTTTCCAATTCCCTCTATAGCTACTTGTGTTCACTGCACCTTTACCTTTTATGCCCTACTGTTTTATTCTACTGTATAACTTTTTTCTAGTCTACTATCCTACCATACAACTTACTACTCCAAAGTACTCTTTTAACATTTTATTTCACCATGGAGTACTCTTCTCCATTGCACTTTTGTAATGCATACTACTTCCCTACTGTTTTACCAAAAAAGTTGTTTTCTCATTATTTCTTCGCTTTTTGTTTATTTTTATCATGAAATCATTATCTTGCCCAGCACATATCATTGTGTTATAGGGATATGATTGGTTTGGCGAGAGCTGCTGTAAATGGAGACGAAAATGCTCTTGATTTATTCTCGTCGGCGAAGGAGCGAAAACAGTCAACTAATCAAATTGCCAATTCGTTTATCTTTGGTACCGCAGACGGTAGGTGGCAATGAGAGAGAAAAGTGCATGTATTTTTTTGTTAGTGCTGAGTTAATGAAGCAATTCTTTAGTTCTGAAGTTAACAAGTTGCTCGTTAATGGTGCAATAAACCCATCCTTTTATATTTTAGGTACTGTCTTTCTTGTGGATGATCATGGTCATACTACATCGTCATTTGCAATTGACGGAAGTGTTAAAACCTTATTGTATTATGACGGAAAAGATGCTGTTATTACTGTCTCAGATAGCATGATGTTGACCCAACATGAAGTATTATCTGATGGCAATATAAATGAAATCATGAAAGTAAATAATTAACTCGTTTTGCACTTGCATACTTTTAAGACCGTATTGCACATGTTGCGACATAATATAATTGTATAATGTTGCAACAATAGTGTTATATGTTTATCTAAAAAAGTAGCTTCTATTTATACCATGTTGCAATTAAGCTACGCCGTGTTAAGCTGTTATTGACCACAATCCAGTAATAGAAGTTATGAGTGCAGTGGCAAACCTTTGACTTAAGATCACCCCTTTGTGGCAAGGGTTGAATTGAAACCATAATTTCGTTTATGAACATATTTTTCTGACGTATTTTTTTACATTCTCTTTATTTTATCAATGCGTGTTATTCTTTGATTTCTAGAAATCGTCATTTCCTGTTCTTTTCCAGTATAAATTAAGTTTAAGTTGCATTTCCACCTGCTTTCTCCTCTCTATGTCCCTTTTCCTAACCTAAATTCCTAATTCCTCGCGTAATCCCAGTTTTACCCAAATCTTAATGCCAATATTTTTTAATGCAATAGTCAACATGGCAAGATCAATCAAATTGCACGAATGTAAGCCTTTTGTAGTGAATGTTCTTTAATTGTCTATCTTACATACATAAAGAACTTATTTAAAGGAAAGACGATTTCTACAATGATTGTTTATGCATATTTCAGGTAAAGGTTTCTGCTGGCTCAGGGGAGCGATCAACGATTTGGGCTGGTCAAGGTGTTTTAGCGACAGCTTCTGGCGAGAATGTTTTAAGGTCAGCTATAAACTTCTAACTCTTAGTACAACAAAACTCCCAACTGTCTTTAAAAATATTTTTTTAAATTTTCAAACCAGAGACAATGATAACGATTAGAGAATTATCGGCCATTTAACTTACTCGTTTACATTTTATTTTTTTTAAATTACTTGAAATAGTTTGAAAAATGTCGATGACTAACGAAAACAATTTCCACGTATATTTTGAGTACACTACAACTTTTTGATCTCCCAGCTAATGGCACGTAAAAGATTCGTTACTTGTAAATCAACTGTGACTTGGCCAGCTCGCTTATTTTGTTCTTTTATGCCAATTTTCTCCGTTCGCTCACTGTAAAAAGGATTGATTTGCAAAGAAATGAATAATGGTGTTCTGAAGTTAGCATGGTGGGACTAAAAGTCGCTGGCTGGTTACACGACTGTATAAGATCACCTTACTTGAGCGTGGTTGTTGTTAGTTTTTATATTAGTCATCTCTCTATGGCATTAAATCCTAAATACAGTTAATAGAGCAAGCCACTCTCTTATCATTTTACTGACCATGCGAATATTAATTGCAATGTTCATACAGTACGTGGTACAACGTACAAACGTACAAGATGCTGATTGCCTCGGACGTACAATTGTCATAGCCTGTGGTGTCAGTATTTTGTAGTTGTAATCTTTTGCTTGAATGTTTAAATAAATTGCTACTGAACATGAGCATGGCAATGATTCAAACTAATTGCAGCAAATCTGCTCCATGGCGCGTACATTCATGTACATTTATGATGCTTTACTGATCTCTTGTGCTTTTTATGCAAGCGGTTTGTTGGTGTTTGTTTTTATGTCATTATATGATGTCCCTTTCTAGAATGGTTGACATCGGAGAAAATCAAAACTATATTCTTGGACTGCCAAACAGTGAATATGATTCTGGTGAATGCATAACTTGTATAGCTTATTCCTCAAGTAAAGGTCAGTTAATTTTGTTGTGGTTAATTTATTATTCATTTCTCTTATAAAAACAGTAAATATGTCAAGGAAATATTTTTTAGCTTGCCAACAGAAAATGTTTAGCAGCTCTTTTAGAAACGTTTGCGTGAATTTTATCTTTTCTCTATGACGTTGGAACTTTTAAGTTAAGTTACTGAGGACTGACTAATATGGAGCTGCCTAAAATATAAAGAATACGATTTTTTGAGTTTAGATGTGATAAATGAAAGACTATTTTTAAATATAAACATACGTGAAAAAATGACTTGCTGTCGCTCTTCGAACCGTGGAATGTCTATGTCAATTCAAAAAGACTATGGTGATTCTCATTATATTATATTAGGTATTCTTGCTGGTGGAACTAACCTTGGCAAAATTGCTATGTGGCACAGCGTCGCAAATAAGACCGGTGCCGAAGTTGAAGGCGAAATGAAATGGGAGCTTTCTTCACCAACATTAGTGCAAGAATATGTTTTACAACTTAAGGTATTATTGACCACGCATATTTTTTGTGCATTTCTATTTCATGTTGTGGGTTAGGGTTGTTTTGTGCTGATGTTGGATCATCAGTAATCATTTTAACGAAAAACGTTCTATCCTCACTTCAACCACAACATTTGTTTTTTAAAGCGAAAGGATTTCTTGTGGTTGATGTATGCATCGTGAGATGATAATTAAATATCTTTCTTTGAAACAAACGAAAAATTCTTATTTAAAATACCTCACGCGTGTTTATAATGGGGTGGAAAAGGACTCCTTGGGGTCAATACTGGATTATCGGTGATCATTCTGAAAGAATAAACAATGAATTCCCACTTTAATGATTTGGTAAGTTGTCGCTCTTCAATATATCTGCTAAAATTAAAGGAATCTATCACAGTGAAACAAACTCCACCATTCGCTTCATCCATAAATTATCTTTAAATATTTTAGATAGCGATTTTTCTTTGCGATATTCTAGACAGCTGCAATACAAATCTCACCGAGTCAATTGAGAATAGAGAAATTTGAGACTTCTGTTTGTCATGATTTAAAAACAGATATTCACATCAAAGGAATATACATTCTCAAGGTGAGTGTTGAGATGCTTCATAATGTCATTTTTCAACACATGTTTAGAGCTATTTCTCACAATGGCTAAAATGGATTTCTATGAATAGCTTTAGGAGATAATACATGAAGTATCTTGCCATAATATTCTCAGTAAGAGGGATTGTTGTGCTGATTGTGTGGTTTCATGTATTTATAAGTGCATAACTATAAAAACATTGAATTCCTCTTATTTAAGCAAGCAATTCAAGCATTTAAGGTTAGATGCTCACGAGAGAGAATTGTGTTAAAACAGGAATTTGGTATCTTGCAATATTCCTATAAATTAGATTACTGTCGAATGTCGTATTCGTAAAAGAACGTTAGAGTAACCAGTCTGCAAGTTTTTTTTCTGTTGCGTAAATATCATCTATACGTTTAAATTAAATGGAGATATGATCATCTATACGTTTATTAAAAAATGTTTTGTTTTGGAAGACAAATGTATTGAAAAAAAATGTGCATAGCAGTGCTATACGTATAAGTGATCTGGATACGCCACTATAACCGCCTCACGTAAATTTTTCATTAGTGTAACAGCGAGTTTTTGAAAGTGCTGTATAAGGAGTGCTCTTTAGAAAATGTGAAAAAAAACCAACCAATTTTTGCAACCATTTTAAAAAATAATATAGTAGCGCCAATTTTTATCGTCGTTTTTCTAAATTTCTTCATGTTACGTGACTTAAGCACTCCGAATTTTATTATTTTTGTTTTATTTTATTTTAGGAACATGTTGTTGTATGGGACGGTAAACGTGTTGTTGTTTACGATCTTTCTGCTGATATGTCCATGGTCAGAGCTGCAGGTGAAAAATTACAACTAACTTATATGAGCTGACTTGCATTACAATGGCATTTGAGTTATTTGTTGTGGTCCTAGAAAATGTTTTGTTTTTACAAGTTATGTCGAGTTCTCACGAACAAACATCACAAACACCAACATATCAGTTTATATCTAAAAAGGTGGCATTATTGTGCAAGTATAAAGATTAGAAAGAAGAAATAATACTTTTATTGTGATTATATATTATTTGTGCCAATGTCATCATGTAAACCAATGAACAGAGTTTATCGCCCAGAAGACTGGTTATTCGAAACATTAAAACCAGTAAACTGTATAGAATTATGTCTATGATGTTTTTATTATTGCTTTAAAGTAATGTACAGTGTATGTGTTTACTTTTACGTTAACGTGTACTATTTTATGTTTATGTTTGCATTTAGGTTCTTTTACATGCGATTCCCTTGTTGTTGTTGCGCATGCTCAAAGTGTTTATACATTGGAACCTGGTAAAATTCAAGTACGAAATTTTCAGGTAAACTGATTACATACAAGCTTGGTGACATCATTGGTATTCAAAGTACTTAGTCTGCCTTTGGTTTTGTTCTGGCTCTTACACATATGTTTTTTATTCTTAGTCCCAGTCCCTCATATTCTTGAAACTTTATTCACTAAATTGATATAGTTGATATTTTTAAGGGAACTGTAAAGCAAGTTCTGTCATTTAATGAATCTGAAGGTGATCCTATCGTAATGGATGTTTGTTCTTCTTTCTTGGTATCGGCAACGATCTTGGGATTTGTTAAAGTCTGGGATTTTTCACGAAGGTAATGATACGTTCGCACGAAGATTTAGATTTTAGAACAGCACAACCCTGTAGATCAAATGATATTTAAAGTAAAGAAAAAAACTTAAGATTCCATTTTTCTAATGTCTTCTCGGTATTGGTGCACAATAAAAACACGAGTGAAAAAATATAACATCGTTTTAAAAAGAAAATAATGTTTATTTTTGAAGATTTAAAAGATTTGATTATATAGTACATCAAAATGATGAAACTGTCATTTCGTAATAAAAATGACTATATTTATGAAATTGAATGATATTATAACATTTTGTCAGCTTAATGATTGATTTAATTAAAATTTTATAACTATTACTCCTGAATTGAATTACGGCAAGTGAATAATTTTGGATTATTTTGTTCAACATTTAGCGAGTTTTAAATTTCGTTATCACATTTATTTTAATCCGTGTTGAATTGTTGTTCCTCCGTTACTTGTATATAAAAGAGAAACGAGAAGCATGAACAATTATCTACGGCTTTTTGTTTCCCATAAATAATTATATGTTTCCTTTCACTATCCAAAAGAAATGAATTATTTGACTGCGTTGATCAATCATCCTTTGACCACATGTTCTCATAATCTTAAAAAAATACGCTACGTTTTATTTTTATTTTAGAGAGGCCAAGATCCATGGTCAAACGAAATGTTTTGATTCAACTGCCACAGCAATAACGAAAATCCTATCGGCTAAAGTAAACTGTACCGGAAATACAGTTTGCATAACATGGGAAAAGGTAGGTTGTGTAAAATTTTGACACAAACTTACAAAAGTTGTTTCTTCATCAAAATTGTTTTCATTCACTGTTACGTAATAAAAAACCAACATTTATTTACATATTTAAATATTGTAATATTTCGATGTAGGCAACGTCGCAATGCATTTGAAAAATTGTCATCATCATCATTGTTATTTCTGTTCGTCTTTGTGATGAATATTTATGCACGCTACTACTTCTTATAGCAATGTGTAGTTGCAACACTTGCAATTGCAGCACTTTCGTTTTTCACGCGCGCTTTTTGTAAGAGGAAGGTCGAATGTTATCCTGATAAAGTGCATGGCGAATGCGTCATGTGAATGTGAATACTCTTGAAGGCATTGAATTGGTAGATGACGAAATCATTGTAGCTTTCCAAGTTGATTTGCAAAATCGGATTTTTAGTCTTGATGCGTGAAATCGTCATTTGGAAAACATCATTAGAGAATTGAAAATTTCAGATTTTAAGAATTTATGCGTGTGATTGTTGTTGAAAGTATAACGTGTTCCCACAAGCCCATTTAATACAATGAAAATTTGAATTTCGAAAAGTCATTTTTAGAAAGACGGTTGCACCTTTTAACTACAATGGAAAAGCTTGTGTTTTTTTATGTCATGTTAACAGTTTACTAAAGGAGAACACTGCCCAAGTTTGCAAAAAAATAAATTAGATTTATTACGCTCAATATTTTTTTATTTTGGGAACTCGATACGTTTAAATGGAAAGATGTTCGCAACAAAATTTTTTTTTTACTATTTCAAACAATGCACTTAAATTGGAGCAAAATATTGATTTCCAGGAATTCGTAATCTTTAGGGTGAAGAAATAAACGATTCAAGACTTTTCGTGTGGGACATGGAATTAGATGTTGTACAAATTTTTGACTTTAACACCGGTTGCAATGATCTTGATGGGGAAAACCCTACCATTGAAGTGGCAGGTCGTTATCCTATGCAAACACATTGGGATCGTTTTGAATCCAAGCTACTGGTCTGCCGTGCTGTACTCGCCCCAGGTAACGCAGATCGCGCCAAAGAAGACACGAACCGTTCAAATGGACCCGTAAGTTTTTATATGTAACTTTGTGCACTGTTTTGTATGCACGTTTGACTAATTGAATGAATGTGCCTTGGACAGATAAAACTTTATCAAGGCCTGCAAAACTTTTATTCATATACGATCAATTTAAATTGTTTGTATAGAATAAAGCATAAAAACATCTTCGTAAGAACATCTGCATTGAAAAGATTGTTTACATATTTTCCCACATAGTCACTTTCCTAATGCCATGTTTGAAGTGTTGTAGTCAGTCTGCAAGTTTCGTTGTTCTATGTAATTATTGCACGTTTTGCTTAATGTAAAAAAATACATTACGAAAGTAATAAACAGTGCTAATGATCTGAAACTTTGATAACATGACCAAATTTGCTGCTCACTGTTTAAAACTTGTCATGAAAAGCAATATAGTCGGCAATTTTTACATTTGCTAATCTCTGGGCCTGCTGTCCAACCTTTTTGCATGAAGTAAATACTGTCGTAGTTTGTCTCGGTGCTATGAAGTTCATATAATTTAGATGCCAAAATTCATATTTTTATTTAATTATTGCATCGTTTCGATTAAAGTATTTTTCTTTCCGGATCTGTGTAGCTGGAGTCCTTGATAGTAACGTTGTTTAGCACTCCTGATCATGGCATCATACTGGTTGATCAATTTCCCGAAGAAGAACATTATACAGGTAAATGTGTTCAATGTTCACGTAAAATGTAAATTGCATTAATATTACTTATAGTAAAATGTACATTATTTTGTTTATTAGTAAGAAATTCAGATTAATTATAGTTCAGAACTAAGTGTTTTCATGCATCTAAAATTGAAGTATTTTTTGTCAAATCATTCTGAGAAAATTTTGATTATGGTTTTTCATCTCACTAAATTATCACAGATAAAAACAATTCTGTTTTACTTTTTTGTAGGATTCTTAGGCGTCCACGTTCCATTCATTTACTTCACAACAAAGGTTAGTAGTTCAGACAAACATATGATTTTTGTTTTGACTCGTTTTCATTTCACTGACAATTAAGGTTAAGTAATTTTCGTGTTTTATTATTTAATTCATAACTGTTTTTCATTATTTTTCAGTTTTTTAGATACATTGTGTATATTACGTAATGTTGAATGTTTTTTCTTTGTTGTTGTTTATGTGTTTTTGTTTACAATTTTTCTGATTCTACGTAGGCGATTTTCGTTAGTTGCTTTGCTATTGACTGTTTTGGCTCACCATTTATTGTGTCTAATTACGTACATGCCTTTTTTTGTGTTCTTCCTCGATTGTGGATCAAAACACACAACATTTTTTATTTGTTTCTCTTAGAAAAGTGAGGTTCCTGACGAGAAAAAAAGTGCCGATGGGGCAACTGCTCCCTTCAGTTTGCAGCGTGTTTCTACGAGACGAACTATGAGAGGTTTCGATGGATTAGAAAATGGTTCTGATGATGCTAAGCAAGCCATGTTGAAGTTCACTTATTTGTCTGCCACGGGCAATATGGATGAAGCTTTTAAAGCTATCAAACTTATCAAAAAGTATGCACACCAAATTTTTTCTCAAATTTATCCAATATTTTATGTATCCTGTTTGAATTCCTAGCCGGTTGGATGAAGCGATTGTGATGTTTTTGGTTAAGCGTTACAACAATGATACAGCAGCTATAGGAAGAATAGAAATTCATAAAATTTAAAGTCACTGTGAATATTGCCTCCATAATTTGAAGAAGCTAAAATCGATTCTATCATTAATGTCATGCGTAGATACGTATCGTTTTTAAAAAAGACCAATCACTATTGGTTATATAAACTTTACAGTAAAATAACTTTTACAACATAGTTCAACAGGTTGTAGAGTTTACATCAGAGTATTAATATAGTGTATGTAAGGTAGTTTTTTAGTGTAGTTTATAAGACCAGGTAACATTTTTGTCACAAGATATTCTTAAGTAATTACAAAAACGTAGTGTTTACAATGGTGTTGTGATGTACTGAATCTTGTCTTTTTTTTAGTCAATCAGTGTGGGAAAATATGGCACGCATGTGTGTGAAGACAAAGAGATTGGATGTGGCGTCTGTTTGCTTGGGAAATATGAAAAACGCCCGAGCTGCGAAATCATTGAGAAAAGCAATGAATGAACCAGAACTTGATGCTCGTGTTGCAATACTTGCTATCCAGCTGAATATGTTGGTTTGTACTTCACGTTTTACTCAGTACTTTATGCGCAAATGTTTTAGCGTTCACACAATAAATTCCGAAAAGAATGAACAAGAATGATTAACGTTGTAACACCAAACCTTAAAACCATCTATGCCACTGTTTGAAATAAGCAATGAAATTTATTTATGCCAAGCGTAAGTTCTCTTATCTAAAGTACAATGTCTGAATTTTTTCTCTTTACTTTAACTACACTGGCGGCTATCTCGTTATGAGAGACATTAGGTGTTTTCTGCGGGAAAAGGCATCATCTGCAATGGTGACCTGTACAGCAATAAAGACTTAATCCATTGCCACTTTTTAACATTATTTGAAGTTATTACTTACATTTGTTAAATATTTTTTTCCTTAGGAAGAGGCTGAAAGGCTGTTGAAGTCTTGTAAACGTTATGATATTCTTAATCAATTTTATCAAGCACGAAATGAGTGGTCCAAGGTACATTGACATTTTTCTGAAGCTAAGCAAAACAAGTCACTTTTTAACTCTTACAAATTGACTAAGTTATGACGTTGATTTGCTTTAAAAAAAATGCAAATGGAAAACGATGTATAGGTTTCTTTCAAAATCGAACGAGTCTTTTTATTATAGTGGAGTTATTTTAAACTATATCAAAACGGATTAGTAGACGAGGAGAGAGTGTTCTTTTGACTTGACAAGTTTATTTAAGCAGTCATGTTTACTTCCAAACTACTCTCTACTCTCTACTAAATCAACAGGTAAAATTTTCAGGTATTTTTTAAGCATGCCTTTTTTAAACACCATGTGAGTATCAATGTTGTGTAAAGAAATCCTTTATATTATCTTTCTTGTAGGCTATTGAGGTCGCTGAACTTCACGATCGAGTTCATTTGAGGACAACTTATTATAATTACGCTAAATTTCTAGAAACGTCAGGAAACATTCAAGGAGCGATAACCAAGTAGGTGATCTCTTTCTAAAATTGTTTATTCAATGTCTTTGCAGTAGACAATAGTGTAACCAGGCCTTGATTCTCGTTATACTATGCATATTTCACAACCTCGTTAAACTCAACGAAAAAGGTCAAAAGTTCAACTCTTCTAGTATGCAGGAAAGAAATTTTCGTTGAGTTTTCGTTCAAGATTTTCGTTGCGGCTGTTTTCGTTCTAATTTTCGTCGATATGGACGATAGTGTGGCCTAGGCTTAAGTTTTTTTTGTCAACCACACAAAATTGAAAATGTCAGATTATATTTTTTTAGCCTTGTATAATCGTAACATGTAAATTGGAGAATTTATACTTTGTTATATTCTCATTTATTTTACAATCTGCATTTATTCAGGGAATTATGAAATAATTTTACATGTGAACAATTTCCATAGCATTTAGTTAATGTAAATAAAATACAACTATGTCATTCTTTTGTTATCATGTGTTTTAGTTACGAGAAGTCGGACACATTTAGATTTGAAGTACCTCGAATGTTAATGGCCAGTCCTGATCAACTGGAAAAATATATCATGAAAACAAGCGATAAGTATAACAAACTTTTGTCATTACTAGTTAATTGATACATTGTGCATATCAGGGACTGCGTGACCTGTTTGTAAATGGGGAGGGAGAATCATAGAGATTAAAAATAATACTAGAGGTTGCATCGTAAAATAATCTATAGTCCGAAATATGATACGTGTTTTTGGAGGGCAAAGTCGATTCCCGGATGTTAAGGTAAGTGGAAGACTATGAATTTCTGACTTTTTTGTATATATTATGCGTAAATACTATAGTAAATACTATCACAATCAAATTGTTCAATGATTCTTCCTTTTTATTGTAATTTTAGATAGTTTAAGCCACTCACATTTTGCAAAACACGTTTGTGTTTTTTTATTCTCATTTAGTAAATTATAAGTCCTTCAGTCATTGCTTGATAAAAAGTCCTTTTTCGTCTTTAATTCAACTGCTAACAGACTTCAAAAAACGTATATTTGTCATCCATACTGGAAAAATGCTTAAATCCGAGACCTATATTTGCCCCACTCCCCAATTCACGCGTCGCCTTAATTCGGCATCAATGCAATTTCTAGTATTATTTATAATCTCTATGGGGAGAGTAGCATAAAAACATACATACGTAGGATGCTGAATTTTCCACTATAATCCAATTGTCCATGAAAAAGGGTGTCTATTGCTCTCCCCCCCCCCCTTTCCTCCCTTTGGAATTCCGAAACAACGGTTGAACTTAAACATTTTTATCACTTTTTGACCAGGATATTATTGATTTATTATGAATGTCAATCAGCAATCTTGTCCAAAAGTGGGAAAATAATGATTTTTTACTATTGTCTGCCAAAATTAATTTAGATCCCTTCGTAAATGGTGGGCGCAATACATGGAAAGCAATGGGGAAATGGAAGTTGCCTTAAATTACTATGAAGCTGCAAATGACATACTTTCTCTTGTTCGAGTACATTGCTTTTGTGGGAATATTGAAAAGGTAAGTATTCCTTAAAGAAATGCTCAAGCGTTTTAAAGTTATTAGAAGCCTTGGAGTTCAATATCGTGATTATGGATTCCATCCTATATTTAGTTGTAAGGAATCAGAAATCGTATTTTAGCTCCAAAATATGACATTCTTTTCAAAATTAAGGATGTGATTTTTTAAAATAGGTTATAACGAAATGCTAAATGTTTTCCCCATGCAACGCAAAGATAATTTTCGCCATTGCACCTAGTTTTATTGCTTGTACACATAAACTTGCAAGTTTACTATGACCATTTTATTAAAGGCATGCATGGAAGAACGTTCTCAACGTTGCCTTTAAGATCCGACTGTTATTTTGTTTAATATTGTTTCAACTTTGTTCAATATGGTTAAATAAAGTTTAAAGCTAAAATTTCAACATCTTTAAATTTTAACTCAACTCATGATTTACGCTGTGTTATGAGAAAATAATTATCATACTATTATTATCATAAAAAATTATCCTACTTTCATGTTTACACTAACTTTATAAATACTATGAAATTTTACTTGTTTCATATTATGGCTTAATGTAAAATTCTCACCCCGCATTGATTAAATTTGTTTGTTATATCTTGCTTCATCGTAATGTATTTCGACAGGATGTTGGTTAGAAAATAACCCCATTAGATATTGAATATAAAAAAGTATAATTTGTGCTATTTTGTTCAACGCTGAAAACCTGTACAAGCTAGACAACCTAAACAACTTAGAAAAAGATATGAACCAAGTGTTGTATAGGCTTCGAATAATTACGTCTTTGCGCCTTAAGTTTTATTTTTTGAAATTAATCTTTTGCGCCTAAATCTATGTTAAAAACTATTGTGTGTCAGTTTTGGATTCACGAACACTGAAACTCAAGGTTATATACCCATGCAGAAATGGTGTAAGTTTATTTGATTTTATGTTGTTAATTAACATAAAGCTGCTTTTTTTTGTTATTACGAGTTTAGAAAGAGATTCCTTTGATGAATGAAACTAGTTCACACCATATACTTTTTTATGTGTGAAATAGAATCGGTTACAATAATTGATACTTAGGGATGGCCCTTGAAGCACACTGTCTATTGTCAGTTTTTGCCTTGTCAACGTTCATCAAAATCTTGAATGCAGTGTTGAACACGTTTTTAAGTTCCTTAAAGTAGCTATACTTTTGACTTTTCCTGTTGTTACCTTTTAAAAGCTGGAACAATTTAAGTTGAGTCCATCATTCACTCCTGCAGGCAGCAGAGATCTGCAACGACACTGGTGATCGAGCGGCCAGTTATCATTTAGCCAGACAATTTGAGAATCAGGTAATTTATTCACTTGTTATAGCAACACTGACAATGCATCGAGTCGAATTGCTTAGCGTATAGCAATAATTAATAATTTTTCGGATTAATATCGTGTCAATCTCACGGTCTACAAATGGCTCATCACTTATGCTCTTGGATGCTGATCCATTTCTTCTATTAAATACTAGCAAGTCAAGATATGGTGTGGGTGGGTGTGTGTTTGAGTCGCTGATTATATAAAGCGAGATGTCCTGGCTTGATTAATTGAAAAGTCAATGTGGAGTACATTCTTCATTCCCAGAAATTACATATTATTTTATTGCAAGCGTCCTTTCCGGCTAAATGGCGCGCTTTGATTGGCTCAAAACCATTTTACCGTTCCATTATCTTCCCGCAATCGACTACGGTCCAAAACACTTAATTTTACAGTCAAATGGAAATAAAGTTCGTAAAGCAAACAGTGATTCGAAGGAAATACACTTGGAAAACAGTTAAACTGTCCAGACGATAAATTTGAAACAATTTATTTTTTAATGGCGAAAACTAGAAAAGTGAAAATCAACCCGTAAAAATAGCGAGGACGAGAAAGAAAGCAAGCTTTGTTTCAGGTTAAATAATCCCATAAAATAGCCCTTTTAATGACCTCCCTTTTTCAGTCTTTACTGAGAAACATCGCACCTCTATTTTTTTGTACAAACCTCACTTTACGGGCTCGGCCTGTACAAAAAAACATCGGTCCGATATTTCTCCGTAAAGACCTCGAGCTTGGTTATTTAGGGCTTAATAATGGAAGAAGCAACCTTGTTTTGGTCTCAAACAAAATAACTTTTCGAAGGGATTTGTGTGCAGGAAAATAAATAATTCAAAAATTATAGTGCTTTTTTAAACTTCTTTATTTTATTGACTTCTTGTTGGTTTTAGGAGAATACTAAAGACGCGATCCATTTTTATACTCGTGCTCATTGTTTTACAAATGCTATACGCCTGGCCAAGGTATGTTGGTTAAATATTTTTGAAAAATTCCATGGCGGGAATAATCAAGCATGTATATCCAAATTTACTGACTTTGCGGGCGTGCGAAGCTACACAGAAATCAAGTCAGGGCAAGCATGTGTACGAAGAATGTAAGCGTGCTGTAAAAGTTTCAATAGGGACAGGCTTATTTTTTCCAAACATTTTAGGAACCCCTCACAAAAACGATGAGTGTCTAATGTTTTTTAATTTCATAGTACCTATGTCTTGTGTAGATTACATATGCTGTATTATTTATGGTTATTGTGTTTTAGTCAACTATTCAGACTAAAACAGACATGAGCAACCAAAATGTATGTAGTAGGGAAAGAGTATGTCCGTTGTGGCTCAGAGTAGAGGAAGCATGTGTGTCTAAATGTGAAGACTAAGGGGGCATGTGTAGCTTTGCCTGAGAAAGTATGTTTAGAATGAATGTATAAGTGTATGTCCAGGCTTTACTGTTTCTCTGTGTATGGTGTTTTGTACACTACGTTTTCCATTGTGGTGAGTTTTTGAACGATGATTTTCCTTTTTTAAATGTTTATGAACGTCTATGTATCAGCTAAAACTTCTAAATATAAATTTAAATGATTGATCTTTTCTGTTTTGATCATGTTAAATTGAAGTTTCTTCTGAAATCTGAGAAACTCCGTGATCTAACCATTATTACCATGTAAAACAAAACTGTTGCAACTAAAAGCTTGTTCGCTTTCCTCGTCGTATTTAAAGATTTGCTTTGTACAATTACAGCTTCGAAAAACATATATTCATTTTGAATTGTTAAAAAATTGATCGATTTTCTAAAACGTTTAGGAAAGTGGGATGGATAATGAATTGATGAATCTTGCTTTGCTTAGCAAACCACAAGATATGATAGATGTTGCAAGGTATTGTTTATAAGTATTAAAAAGAAAGAGTGACAAATATAAATTTTGCTTTAAAAGTGTATGATAAATAACAAATATGTCATAGTATGAAAATAGTGTGAGCATAATGTCATTTACATAGACATAGTTTAATATTGTAACAATGGATTTGCCAGGAGGAAAGCGAATTCTTATAAATATAATTGCCCAACATAAAACTTTAAAATGGCCATGGGTATATAATTTTATTAACAATAACGTTTCTTCTTTAGCTTAAGACATCTTTAGATTACAATACATACATGTATGAAGTTAGAAAACATATATACTATTTATAAATTATTCACGGAGTGTTAAATTACAAGGTGTAGTGATGATAGTGTTTTGTCATATTTGTGTTAAGGGATATAGTGGTGTTGAATGGAATTAGATTATATTTAGTGGGAGGGAACTGTCTTGGACATTAAGAGATGGTTTAAGCTGGAGATGAATAGGCTTTTGTAGATGGATAGTTCGTATGCATTAGGAGAGGAGAATATAATATCGAAGTCGTCAAAGTCGGCGAAGTGATTAGCGGTTTTGAGATGGGTGAGCACACTGGAATTGACTGGACTAGATGAAGTTTTTCCTGTCTAAGGAGGGATATCTAAATGTTCTGATACTACTCTGGTGTGATACTACGCGTATACTACGTGTGATAATACGCGTGGTTTTACCCACGTATGACAAAGAGTGGTGTTTTGATGTCACCTCCTTGTTTACTTTATTCCAGTAGACGAAACCATTGAAATAACCATCAATGACATCTTTTCTCATTTTCTCCTAATGCATACGAACTATCCATCCACGAAAGCCTTTTCATCTCCAAACTTAAACCATCTCTTAATGTCCAAAGCAGTTCCATCTCACTAAATCTTATCTAATTTCATTCAACCCCACTCTATCCCTAAAGACAAAAATCACACAACACTGTCATCACTATACCTTTTAATTTAACACCCTGTAAATAATTTATGATTAGAATATATAATTTCAAACTTCCTACATGTATGTATTGTAATCTGAAGATGTCTTAAGCTAAAGAAGAAACGTTATTGTTAATAAAATTATACACCCATGGCCATTTTAAAAGTTTTATGTTGGGCAATTATATTTACACTAAGAATTACATAGGCATATAGTTTAATATTTAATGAAGAAATGTTTTATTCATAAACTATTATTCCTTATTTATTTCTAGATACTACGAAAATAATTCAAATACGTTAGACAAAGCAATCATCTTGTACCACAAGGTTAGAATACACAATATTATATTTTATAACCTTTAATATGTTCAATTGTTTGATAGCACTCAGAAATTCGTATTCTTTGTATGGAATTTTTTTGGTAATTTGGCATTAAACACACATTCTGACTTACCCTTCACTAGTAAGTAGTGTGGTAGAGGTTAAACGATCGCTCTCGTTTACTTTGGAGGCACGTCAATTTTTTTGTAGAAAACTCACGAATCATTTTCAAAATATCTTTACAATTTATTTATCAAGGAAATTTAAGCTTTAAGCCTATAACTAAGCACAGATGCGTATTTAAAGTACTGTTCCCCTCTGTAAGCTTGACTTATTTGTTTACGTGTTTGTGGTGAGTTATGATAAACTGTATCGTACATTTGAAATTCTTGGAAAAGTAGTAGTGAGGTAACATGAACATACTATGCATGAAGATTCAATATTGTTGACACTGATTTGAAAATCACTTTTGTGTTGTTGTATCTTGTGTATGTATTTTTCTATTTCACACGATAATGTAACGTATATTAACTGATTACTCTTTTGAGGCTTTGTCAGACAACCCATCCTTGTAACTTTAATTCTTGAGCCTGCTTATGAACGCCACACTAAATTTTTTTCATTGTTGTTTGTTCTCGTGGAATATTTTTATATGTTTTATTAATACATGTTTGTAGATGTAGATCGTCCAGGTTGGTACAGTCCTGAGAAGGACTGTTTTTGTTGTTGTTGACTGACGTTTCAACAACCTTAGCGGTAGTCATCTTCAGAGTCAGTCCTTCTCAGGACTATACCAACCTGGACGATCTACATCTACAAACATGTAACGTTACTCCCGTGTTCAAACCATTTACTTTGTTTTATTAATGTCGACCAGGCTGGCGAAGTTAGCAAAGCGCTTGATTTGTGTTTTGAAACGGAGCAGTTTTCCACTTTGCAAATGGTTGCCGGCGATCTTACGGAAAATACTGATCCTGAAATGTTGTCACGATGTTCTCAGTTCTTTATGGAACATGGACAGTACGACAGAGCAGTAGAGATAGCTGTTCTAGGGAAGAAAGTAAGAAAATGACTTATATTTGTAATCATTTCATATCCCCGGCTTTAGTTTAGAGTTTCGCGTTGGGAAGCAATGTCTGTTTCGAGCAAACAAAACACACTGTTTCCCTGAGTCTCATGCAATATATGTTAATTTGTTGTTAACAATCGTCCAAAGTAAAGCGTTCCTTAAAGCATCCTTTGCATGTCTTCAAAAAGCCCATGTTTACTGTAAAGTTTACTTATAAATGAGACTTGTTTCAAGAATATGAATTTCTTTAATATTTTTTTTTATTTTTTTAGTATGAAGAGGCAATGGATCTTTGCCTTTCATATAACGTCCTAATAAGCGAAGATCTTGCGGAAAAGATGACTTTGCCTAAACATTTCAGCGATACAGAGTTGCGAAGTAGAATTCTAGAACGAATTGCGGAGTGCTGTATGCAACAAGGATCTTATCATCTTGCAACAAAGAAATTTACCCAGGCTGGCAATAAAACAAAGGTATATATAACTTTTGAAAAATAAGGTAACCAGTGGTTAGCTTAGTGACAAATATAGTAAAATCTCGTATAATGAGCAAAATAAATCACGAATGGTTAGGCCCCACTTACACGATACTGGATTATTTTTTGTACCAGATTTATATGGTTAATCCGATCTGCTTTTTGTACCGCATTTTTCATTGTTGAACGACAGTACAATAAACCATGTGCTTTTATGATGGCGGACGCGAAGCATGCCGAATTGGAGAGAAAACGAACTAGAACTGCTTTCCTCTTGCAAAGTCTTTCATGAAATAAGGGGATAAAGGATTAGTGGAATCTTCTATGAAGCCCACAAGGACATAGTCTTCTCCCTCAACTATAACTTTGGGACATCTTGGTAACGAGCTATTTTTAAAAAGTTGATTGATATTTGAATTGGCCAAAACACGTGCATCATGCTCAATTCCTAGCCATTTGCTATCAACATCGAAAGACAGACATTTTGCATTCACACACGCTTGTATACATTTATGCTGTAGAAGTCGTTTCAGTTGGTATAGTCCACTGCGTTTTGTTCTGGTTTCTTTTTTTAAATATGCGTCCGTCTAAAGTGAAAATACATTGGGAGAATGCTTGTTCTGCAAAAAAGATGAAGCTTATTCCCTGACCTCTTTTTCTGTTGTGGAAACTCTTTGTATTTTTGCTCTAATTTTGTTGATATTGCCATTGTTACTCGTTCAACTATTTGCAACACTGTCATGGTTGCTATTCAAAAACATTTGCTCTCTCTCTCATGTGAACACAGTCTGACAAGATATAAAACCTTTCAGCAACTTGTGTGTTTACTGATACTGGTGCTCTCATGTTAGTATCTTTTCTTTGTATGAAAGGTCGAAGTTCGTCACATATATTTGTAAAGTTTCTTTGGACATCCTAAAGTTGTTTCTTCACTCTTCATCGTCTCCCTAACGTGCTTGTAAGTTTTTTCACTATATTTCACATCGTCCAGGTGCTATACAGTAACTTCTTTTTGTTTTTACTTTTTAAATTGATGTAATGATATAACTGCTATTAAGCACATGTTGTTGTAGTGCCCGTCATATTGTTGAAAAATGTCGTAATGAATTTATGTAAAAAAGAGTACAGTTTAACTGAAAAATGCCAGCAAAATAATTCTTAACAAAAGCAATTATCCTGTGAAGAGTTGAAAAAGTTCATTTTATTTCTGTAAAAATTGGTCATACTCGGCGACAAAAATATACTGGATCATCTCATTTACTCTGCATCCGGAACAGACTGGATTGTTTTTTTTTTATTATTTCCAAAACAGAGAGATATTCTTGCAGTGAAACTTACTGGATTAGTTACCATGGCATCGATTAACCAAAACGCGTATCCTGTAGAGAAAGTAGTCCTGTACAAGAGTTATCCTGTATCGTGTAACTAGAGCCTCAGTAAGGTTATAGTTCAAAAGGTTTTGTTAAAAAATGTAACATCCTTTTCTTGAAGGCGATGAAAGCACTACTAAAGTCAGGTGATACGGAAAAAATCATTTTCTTTGCTGGCGTATCAAGACAACGTGAAATATACGTTATGGCTGCGAACTATTTGCAATCATTAGACTGGAGAAAAGATCCTGATATCATGAAGAATATCATTGGTTTCTACACAAAAGGAAGGGCGCTCGATTCATTGGCCAGTTTCTACGACGCATGCGCGCAGGTATTTACATGTTTAGATATTTTTTGTATTTCCTCGTTTCCAATGCGTTATATATGTTAACAAAGAAGTCTTTTCAAATTTCTAAAAATATGATTCGATTCCTATTCTGTGGAGAATGAAGTTATTTGATATAAAAGTTATGTGGTTTTAATCTTGTCGAGATAGTCCAACGTCTTATAATGGACTATTTTTAATATTCAATTTTTGCCATGATCATGTCCTATATGTGGTTCTCTGTGGTTCCATGTGCGCAAGTGCTGTGTGATTCAGTAACTTATACATTACAGGTTGAAATAGATGAATATCAAAATTATGAAAAAGCTGTAGGAGCGTTGTCTGAGTCGTATAAATGTTTGAGCAAAGCGAAATTGAAAAACCCTTCTAAACAAGAAGAAAGACTGGCTTTTATTAAACAAAGAATTACTTTAATAAAGAAATTCATCCAGGCAAAAAGGTATATGTGCAGGCGACGTAGATTTTACTTTTTCGTGCAGTTATAATGAGTAAAAACATTGTGTCATTTATATGATAATTGGGCATGTTTAAAATGTGTTGAAATCCTTTGTTTATGAAATGTTGGTTAGAATGAAAGAAAAAAGTGTAAAAATCTTAATTACATCAAAAAGTTCAAATATTTGACTTAAGTATTAATATCTCAAAACATTGCTTAATGTTACCGCAAACCAGTTATATATAGAGTTTGCACTCACTTTATCATTTGGTCTTTAAATTGCATTTACTGCATTAAAGGATGATGAAAGGTTAAATAGTGTGACCTTTCATAATGATTTTTCAATCTCTAATTCTTTTTAGATATTTCAACTGTAATTTTATGATGAACTATATTTGTCCTGTAACTTTTTCATTTCTATAAATATGTATCTATTACACAAAAACTATGTGCAAGCGTGAGCAACCTTACTAGCTCTTGTTTTGTGATATTTGGAGTTTAGATCACAAATAGCATCCAAGACCTGAGTATTACATAGCTGCTTGCACGTTTTCACACAGAATGCATTTGAATTTTTGAATTTACTAGAAATTACCTGCTTCCTTGCATTTAGTCAATTGTGTACCTTCTCTTTAATATTAACCTTGGTTACTGTGTAACATAACTAACATCATAAAAAGTTGTATTTAACGAGCAGATTTATCACATAGGATTAAGTTCATTAAAACATCATACAAGTCACAACAACAACCTTGAAGTAATATTGAAAAAAATTTACATTATGATATTAAGTCTTTGAAATGTTAAAATAAACTATTTTATGTCGTGTGCACTTTAAAGTGTCTGATATATATTTTGTAGATCGTATGATGGAAATGCTGTAGAAGCGATGCAACAATGTCAAATATTACTCCAGGAACCAGATATCGAGACTGCAGTTAGGACTGGGGATATTTATGGTGTAATGATTGAACATTTAGCGAGAGAGCAGAATTTTTCAAAAGTAAGAACCTGTTGAGCAAAACAGTGGGTTGTTCGAGATTTTGCACAATCCTTCAACCTATATTTCTAATTCTGCATATTACTAGACTCAACGTTACTGCATCAAAACTAATTCATTATCCTTCCTTTTCATGGATACTTTAATACAACTTATTGCTGCTATAAATATTAATAAAGACGATACATTACTCCCCATCATCCCCCGTGGCGAGAAACGTTCACAAGCCTTAATTGGCTATTTCCTCAATTTGTGGATTTACTTTCTATGATGTATGGATATGTATAAAGTGTGAAAGCTGATGCAACTAGAGACATAACAAGTTATTTTTTCAAAAATTTTAAATACATACGAACGCACGGAATACCATTTAAACAAATCTTGTTTTTCCACTCAGGCCTTTTCTTTACTGGAAGAATTGCGACAACACATCCCAAGGGGAAACGTGTCTTTCTACGTTGACACCAGAATTGTTGAAGGTATTCATAAAGCATTAGGCATACCCTTGGATTCCGTCAGTCACAATGTGTTAAAAAGTAGCGAAGCTGCTGACAGTGAAGCGGAGATAGACGAGGCTGTCGATGAAGATCTGGAAAATGAATATGAGTGACGTCATTTTTCATAGTAGTCGTACGTGCTCTTCATTTATGTGAATTGAACCAAACACTTATTAATGATAAATAATTTTTAGTTAAACTGTATCTGTGACCAGTTGAATCGCTTATATTTAAAAAAGTATTCAGAAAAATACTACAACATTTAACGCTATTTGGTTTTTACAGTAAAAATATATGTTGCTATATTTAAAGTTGCTGTTAAATCATCTTATGTATTTTAGACCCTAGTATTACCTCTATCATCAATTTAGCTGTAACAGGCGATATTTCTGCATGAACAACTGTTGTCTTTAGTAGCTATTTTCCTAAATGAGTAGGATTTTGCAGTGACTTTTGAATTTATTTTTATTTTGTTTATAAAAAGAAGTCTGTCTTTATTGGTAGTTTTGTGACGTCAGATAAACTTTTATAGTCTGTCTTGAAAACCGCCCACAATTTGCTGGAATCGACCTCCTGCTATCATTATAGCCAGCAGTTGATAGTTGTAAACCAGCGATATCTCATAGTCGAGAATTGTCAAACTGTATCATTAAAAATACTATTCTCTATTATTACGCAGCCAGCTCACCTTCTGTACAACATACGTAAGTTCACTTGCTCGTAGTTGAGTGAAATTTGTCCCCTCCATATTTCAAGCAAACCAAGTTGCGACGTAACTACATATAATATAACATATATATGTGGCCATGTGTTGTCATTAAAGTAAAATTGGCACGACATCGCAAAAGTCATTACATCAATCATAACCTCATTTGACTTAAATTAAACATTGAAAATGACAAGTTAAAAAGTTGTCTTTCGCGTACTACATGTAATATTACACGTGCTTTTACTTCATAGCATTTTGCATATAAATTTAAAAATTTTACAGCATAATTTTTTAGTGTAATTACATGGTTTCTATCCCCTGTCTAACCAATTCAAAATCAAGTTGCGGAAAAGACTAAAAAAAAAGCTCTTTTGAACATATTAACATCATAATTAAAAGACGTCAAGAACATCAATAATAGTCACCAAGTGCGTACACTTGGGTAGCCGATGAAGTATGTGGCCATAAAGTTAAGTAGATTGATGTACATATCTCAAATAATATTATTTATTAAATAATATTTGAGTCAAACTTGTTCAAGATTTAAAAAAAGTGCTATACGTACTCGCTGATTAGTCGAATTACCCAATAACTTTTTAATCTATTCTGCATTTATAACCACTGAACTATAATACATGAAAAGCTACCTGTAATAGAAAAGCCTAATAAATTTTTAAGGCAAATTTGACCACCAGTGTCTGGAGGTCAATTTACGTGTATTGCACGCTCGAAGCTACTCGTTATGCGAGACTTGTTAAATAAACCAGTTTTTCGCGAAGTCCTGTTTTGATTTTGGTCAAATGTACTTAAAAGATATTTATGGTTTTCTGAAAGTGCTTGTGTAAAAGATAGGTAATTTTGTATTGATAGTTGCCAACCTTATCACAATATAAGACCTATAAGACCAAACATGCATGTAACTCACGAGCGAGATAGAGCGCGTGACAAACATTTTATATAAATCAAGGAATATATTTACTAAATAATCGATTGAAGAAAAAACCTAAACAGATTTCTGGGCCGCCTGTTGTTTTGCAAAGGTATTATTTCCGATTGTAAGGATATTTTCTTACAAACACCCAACAATAAATAAATTGATTCAAAATGCAATGTTTCTGTTATGACTATGTCAACAGTTTCCAATGAGCAAAGCATTAACTGGAAAAAATGCATTTTCTGACAGAAAGACAAGTATAGAGGATATATATATAATAGCTATTTACATAATATTAAATTGCATGGTGGGATGAAAACGTGAAAGTAAATATGGGATAAGATAGTATAACGTGGGATAAGTATAAACACGAAAGAAACAAAAAAAACACACAATCATAAAGTATACAGACATAACGACAGACGAAATTAGATTAAAGCTACAATGTCGAAAAACTACAATTCCCAACTAATTCAAAAAGGCGCAATGTTGCTGCTGGATACCGAACGGTAGCAGAAAATTTGGCGCAGTTTTAAGTGCTAGTGTGTGTACCAACTACAGTAAACATTGATGATTTGGATGAAGGAAATGGTATTGAAGATGCATCGAGAAGATATAAAGCATGCTGCCATAAAAGATGTAGTTGAAAAGTAAACAATACAAAATTTAATTATGCAGAAAAACGTCTGTCACATTGCAACCAACATAAAGACGCTGTTGCAAAAATATTCACTCGTCAATCAGTCTCTAGATACAAGTTTTCCAAAGGAGCATTGTCTTTTCTGTAACTAAGATGTAACTCCCAAAAAAGTTCTTCAAACGCTGGCCTCAACAATGGATTTTGATGCCCGAGTCAGAGAATATGCCATTGCTTTACAAGATCAAAAGTCATTAGCAAAATTGAGCGAAGGGGAATTGATCGCAATATAGGCTTAGTATTATCCAGCATATCTGCCATCTTTATTTAACAAAGCAAGATAAAAGGAAGAAGACGATGTAAGATCCCTGGAAAGCATTACCTTAGCTGAACTTATAACTTATATCGAAGAGTCTTCATCAGGGAAAGATGTATTGGCAGTTTTTAAGATGGCTAATTTAGTTAAAATGTACACCACACGTTTACATTGACTGCTAGTTAATTTGACCGACCACGTCTGCGCAATTATAGGCTAAAAGATCGTATCCTGTCCATTGTTCCCGAGCTCAACGCGCATAAACAAAGTGGGATATACTCTTATAGCATATAGAGATGATGTAGCAAAGGCACTCAAGAAAACACATCGGGAATGCTGAAAAAACGACGCTATACATTTTGCGAGAGTTGCAAATATTCTTAGAAAAGAAATGTGAAAGATCAAATTAACTTCGATGGATCTTTTCCGTTATTTGTCAGGTCTGCTCGGTTTCAGCAGTACGTTTGTCTATTGCAAACATGATTTTAGATGGGCTAAACCTCGAAAGTCAATTAGATTCTTTGGAAACCTTATAGCTACTATTGTACATTTGTTCCAATTCAAAAGCAAAATTCACCAATTTGATCCAAACAAGCGTCAACGCCACAGTTTGTTTTGAGAAACGCTACTTCCAATATACATTGGTATGTCTACTCATGCTAAAACTCGCAGTCCTTATCTCATTTAAAATTTCTTCTATTGTTTCTCCCCCGTAAGCACCATCCATGTTCACAACGACCACGACTTTTCTTTTCTTCTGTAATTTACGAAGGTTGCAGCATTTAGTGTTGAACAAAAACATGGTATTTCAGATGAGAATATTGAACTGAAAAAAACCTCATTCTTCAATTTTCTTCTCTTACTTGATTTTCAATCAACAGATAAGCTGCTGCTTGAACTTCTTTTGTATCTTTTTTTGTTTTTAATATTCCTTTTATGCTTTTTAAGCTTTTCTTTTTCTTTGGAAGAGTTTTTGCTGTTGGGATCATTTCATTTTTTTTGACGCTTGTATCTCTGTATGAGTCGACTTATCAAGGTTTATCAATATCACGTGACCAAGTTCTTAGCATTTTAACAAATATCGGAAACAGCGTTTGTTCGCCCAGTTTCTCTTCTTAATGATGATCGACATGTTCCTCAAGTACAATGTGAAGTAAAAGGAGATGCTCCAAAAGTCCTCCATACAATAGCACAAGAGTTAAAATGGTTTGACAGTGTAAGCAATATTGTTAGATTAAAAGCAACCCTCAAATGAGACTAGGAATTCTCGAGGATAGCTTATCATTCCAAGTTACAAAATGTTAACTCACCCCTGTCTATTTCTGCATTGCCATCCCTATTTCCAAACCAACCAAAGTCTGTTCCTATGGTTCGTCATGCTGTGGCTGTTGTAAAATTGGCTTTTGATAAACTTAATACATATCAGTTGTCTGTGATAACGATAAATCAACCAATTTTTGCTGTTGCAAAGCAAATTCTTGGTGGAAATGGCCAGAACTTGATGGAGAAAAACACTTCTTGATAATGTTCGTAGGCGTTAATCTTAAATAGGCTTTCTCAAATTTCTTGATCAGTGGCTTAATAGGAGTGACTAGATGAAAGTCTTAACTCAAGCAAAAATAGCATCACCAGCTACAGCTTTTTCTTTTTTAGAGCTTCCAACGTTGTGCGCACAAGGAATGCCCACGTGATTCAAATTGATCAAACAAACACCCACGTAAATACTATAACATTGATTATTATTTCAGACCTGTTTATGTACTTTCTTCACATTGTACTTGAGGAACATGTCGATCATCATTAAGAAGAGAAACTGGGCGAGCAAACGCTGTTTGCGATATTTGAAAATACTATAACATTGATTATTATTTCATCTTTCCTGACTTCATTGCTCAAGATCTTAATTTCATCAAACCTATTCACGAGTAGCGTTTATTAATTGTATAGGTAAACAGACATAAAGCATTGTTTCCACAAATTTTTATGTCTTGCTGTTAGCCAAGTTAAAATGTACAGTTGATATGATGTTCAGGTTCAGACATTTTTAGTTTTTACACGTTTGACATCGTTCAAACATATTCATTTACATAAAACAATGAATTCGTTAGGATCTTTGCTTAGCATTTTATTAAATGAGCAAGATTTTCAAATATCATAGAGTGCCTGGAGTCCAAACACATCTTGTAATACCATGTATCACGTTATCAAACGTAATGAAAAACTTTGAAAGAATGGAGTATTTAAGCAAACGTCAAACCCAGACGTCCAAAAAATTGTAGAATTCTTTCTGTAAATTTTAAATATAAAATTTAGTTCTGACTTTTAAAATCCACACGCACTTGCTTCGAGATTTAGTTACTCGGGTTTTTTTGATTTTGCGGTGTTGTTCTTTGATAGAATTTTGTCGCAATCTAGTTGTTTTAATTGTCAGTAAATGCCAATCTACGTTAAATTTTACTTAATTTATTGTTTTTCAAATGGGAAGAAAGCTATTAATAAATGAATATAACCAGGAAATTTGGTTATAATCGTAACCAAAGAAATGAGACATTTGGTGATTTTAAACATTAGCATACATTCGATGTAGTATGCTTTTGTATAGCAATTGACTACGTATTTATAAATATGAATTTATGATGCATATTTTAAATGCAAAATGTAGCAAGCTTGGCATTTTGTTTAAACCCTTAATCATTTTGAACACGCGTACAACTTTTACATATTACTGACATATTTTTCAAATCTTAAAGTTGTGAAAGCATTCATTTATTGAAATAATGTTCGGATAGACTTTATGTTTTGAAGTGTTTATTATTGTTGTTAAGGGTCTGTGTTTTTTGGCATTACAAATATTTAAATTTATCAAACAATCACCCACACAAATATTGTTACACAAAAATTGAATAGGTTATTGCATTGATTATTATTTTATCCTTCCTGACTACATTGCTTATGTTTAAGGATCTTAAATTCATGAACCGTATTCACGAATGGCGTTTATTAAAGTATATTGCAAAACAGAGAATGAAGCATTGTTTGCACAAGTTTATAAGTTTTTACTTTTAGCAAAGTTAAAAGATAC